CAATTTATATGAGTTCTTAACAGTTGGGTTGCAGTTATGTTTCCTAGGGTTGTCTTTTCATTTTGTTTTATGGTGTTTTGACAGTAGATGTTCATATTTAATGAAATCAAATTTACCTCTTTGCTTTGCTTTTTATCTTTCCTATGTTCTTATAAACTACAGCAAGATCATAACAATGCCCTTTTGTATTTACTTCCAAAAATTTTGCAGCTTTCCCTTTCATATAATCCTCCCCATCCAGGGATAGTGGTACACACCTGTAAACCCAGCACTCAGGAGTCTGAGCTAGGGGGATCACTAAGTCTGACACCAGCCTGGACTACATAGTGAGACCTTGTCTCAAAAACAAAAACAACAACAACAACAAAATCCTCCCCACACTAACTTCCTGGACAATGTAAAGTTCAAATGGTTACACAGTTGCTTAAATATTATTTTTTGATTGGAAATTAACTAACTATGGCCTATAAATCAAATCCAGCTCTCCACCTGCTTTGATAAAGCCTACTAGCTAGAAATGATTTTTGTATTTTAAGTGACTGAAGACATAAAAGGAAAATAATTCATGACCCATAAAAATTATGTAAAATTCAGTGTATATAAGGCTTTATTAGAACACAGTCACAAGCCCTTGTTCAGCTATTGTCGTGGCTACTTTCCTATGACCTCAGCAGAGTAGAATAACTCTTATCAGACACTGTGAGGTACAAAGAGCTTAAAATAGTCACTGTTTACTCCTTACAAAAGTGTTTGCCAGTATCTACACAGTTAATTTTTTCCCCAATCATATAAGTGCTCCCTCTACTGTAAATTAAGGTTTCATTATTTCTAGGTCTGTTTTGGAGATTCTACTCAATTCCACTGGTCATTTTAACTCTCGCTGCACCAAAAAATATACTATCTTGATCACAATAACAATTTCTAAGAAGCCTTAACATGTATTTAGAAGAAGTGTTCCTTCTTTTTTAGTGAGGTGACTAAACCTCTTTATTTCTCCACATACATTTCAAAACCTATGCCAATTCCAGGAAAGACTCTGTTAGGATTTGGCTTGGAATCATTCAATCTGTAGATGAATCTGGGAGAAAAAATACTGACATAGTTATGAAACCTCTATCCGTGAATATTATAGATACTATTCATGGGTGAGGCTTCCTACCCATGAATAATATATCTCCTCTATCTATGAGTTCTTTTTCACTATTTCCCCACAGCAGTCTCAGTCCTCTGTGGCTTGAATGTTTGGTAAAGCTCACCTATAAAACCACCCAGACATGACATTTCTTTGGATGAAAATTTTTAACTACTTATCTAATTCCTTCCATTGTTATAGGACAGCTTTGATTCTTTTATTCTTAATTCAATTTTGCTATTTTGAAATGTATCAACTCCATAAAAATTTTCCAGTCTCTTGTCCTGAAGGTAGTTATCAGAATTTCCTGATCTCCTTAGCATCTGTAGACACCATGGCCCCCATTTTATTCCTAAAATGTTAACTTATGTATCCTCTCTTTCATGTGTGTTTTGCTTTATTTAACTTGACTTGTCTTTCTGTTTCTTCATTTTTTTCTTCCTTTCATTTTTTTCCTTTTTTATGCAGTATCTCAAATTGGATGGTGTTATGGTTTGTGTCTGAATGTTTCCCCAAAGCCTCATGCAGTCATGGGGCGGGCTTCTAGAGTTTATGATTGATTCATGGTCCAATGTTAGAATTATGGGTATGAGTGCTACACCTGCCCCAGGATGGGTAGTTTTCATACAATGTAAGGAAGGAAAAGAAGCTTGCTCTCCCCACCCTCTCCTCCCTTTTTCTCTTGTGGCTTTTGCTGTTTTCTGCCACCATGAATGGTTGCCCTGTGCTGTGTGCAACTCTGCCTTGGAGCCAGCCAAGTAGGGACTGAAACCTCCACAAACTGTAAGCTAATAATAATAATTAATAATAATAAACCTTTCCTTCCTTAATTTTGGGCACCAGGTATTTTGTCTCAGCAATGAGAGAAAAGTAACCAGGAGAGATGGTCAATCCATTAATCTGCACCTTTTTTCCCTGAATGTAAGGATTTATGTTACAAATTTCTTTCTGAGTGTTTATTATGCCACATGGTTGAAATACTGACACCTAGTATTTTTGTTATCTAAATTCTATTATGTTTTATTCTTTTATTCATAATTCATCTAGCAGTATTGTTGCCAGTCAGCTTGGGGTTCTTTTGCTTGATTCCAATGGGGAGGTGACCCTGAGCCAAGGCAGGAAGAAAAGGGCAGCTGGGAATGTGGGATCAGAGAGCTGGGGGTGGGCAAGCAGAATCAGTAAGGAAGCTAGCATGCTGGTGAGGGAGGTAGAAGGGACAAGGCAGAGGAAAGAGGTAGAGAGCAAAGGGAAATAACAGGCTTTTGGGAAGACTGGTGAGACCACATACTGAATTCCTTATGGCAGAGGATTTTTTTTTTCTTCATTCCATTGAACATCTATAGACTCCAGCTCTGGAATCTTATATGTCAAGTTCCAGGCCAAGAGCCTTGGCTGGCTGATGGTTTCTGTTTGTGTCTAGCAGGACCGTCTTGCTCCTCCACATATATCCTGACAACCTGAAGCACCCTGCAGTTGAGATCATTGGAACTGGACTCTGTTTACTGTGATACAAAGAATACAACATGCAAAGAGAAAGAAAAATCATGGACCAAGCCCAGCTGTTCCCGCCACAGACTTCACACAAGGTAATCTGTGATGCATTTCTCTGAGAAAATCCTCTTTTCTTGTGCTTTATTTTATTTCATGAAAATAAACCTTATTATCAAACAGGATGAAATCCATAAACCAAATCCCAAACTCTAGCAAAACAAGACTGCTTCTTAATGTATAGTCATTCCTGACAGAACAGTCCTTTCAGCTTATTGCTTTTGTTTCTTGTTTCTTGAGAACATGACTCCAATGAGACCCATGGCTGCCAAGCCCACTCCTGCGATGCCTGCTGCCATGACGACATCTCTGACCTGCAAAAGAGAAGGGATGAGTTACCCTCGGTGTCAGGAATCTGAGAATAAGCTGCAATTCAACAGCACATTCAGCACAGGGAGTCTCACATGCCTCTTGGCCTCCCCTGGTCAAACCTAAAAGTCAACAATTATTGGCAGGAAAGAGGAGAGGAGAGGGCTCAATGGGGAAAGAATCAGTGGATGGAGCCAGCTGGCCTGGAATTTAAATGGACCCAAAAATAGGAAACACAATTCACCTTGTGCCTATTTAAAGCATTGAAATCCTCAGAGGGTGACTGTGGAAATGACAGAAAGATTATGCCAGGATGGTCAAAATCCCAGCTGGCCAATGGGAGCTCTGGAAGCAAGTACAAAGACAGGGAGGAATTACTAAGAATGCAAAAATAACATGATGTCCATGAGAACAAAGGTCTCACCACATCAGTGTATCCTCAGGGCCCGGTCCTGCCACATATGAAAGTCTTTGTATCCTCAAGTAAATGACTCAACTATTAATAGTAGTGACATTATACTTAAAGTTATTAGGGTACAGTATCTGACTTTTACTGCTTGTAGCAAAAGAAAAAAATCTCAAAAGTAGGAGCAAATTTTAAAGTAGAACATATGTCAGATTTCACTCCTTCCTAAAACCCAACTAAAATAAAGTAAGACATTTGTTTGGGCTGGAAGTGTAGCTCAGGGGTAAGCACTTGCCTGGCTTGTACAAGGCCTAGGGCTCAATCCCCAGTACTACCAAAAAAAAAAATTGTTTTAGGCATAATTTCACAAGGACACAGAATCCTAAGGCATCGATGAGAAAAGCTGAGGACCAACTCTAATTAAACAACAGAAACCTCTAAAAGGATTGCATAGAAGGTTCACATATTGACAGCCTCAGAGACCTGGAAGTGGGACAGCAGAGAGTATATTAGCCAGGTCCATGGACCTCCTCCCTCACCCCACCAGAAAGCTGAAAGTTCATTCTCTGAACAGTTAGAGATGCTAAAACAACATTTGGGGGCCTAGAAATCTAGAAGCACACATGAGGTTGTATCATACCACAAAAAAAAGAATTAAGAGACTAAGAATAGACTAAGTGTGAGTATAGCAGAAGATGCCCCACACCCCAGCCAAGCCAGTATACTTCAATTTGTTAGTTGCCCAGGTAACAGTTCCAGTTACAGTTCCTGTTAGCTTCATAGAAACAGCTAGTCACTGTGATGCATAGCTGATCACTATGATGCATATTGTGAGAACCAGTCCTCAATTGACAAGCCATTCTGCCTCTGTACTTCCTGCTTGCTTATCCCATATTAGCCCTAGACCACCAGAGATCAGAGCCTGATATTTTGGGAATAATCCTGATCAGTACCCAGCATCGTCAAATAAATCTGCCTCCAAATCCTGGGTGTTGTTTCAGTGTTTCTGCTTGCCATTGCATGAGACTCTCAGATCTCCTTCCCCTTATGGCCCTCAGAACTTCACCTTCCATACGAGAGTCTGGAAGATTTTTCTGGAAATCTGATGGCCCAAGTAGAAACAAAAGGCACCAGTACTGGTGACTCTCCAACAGTCCACACTGTGACATCACAGTGAAACTCAAAGTTAACAGACCCCTGCCCTGGCCCTTTCCTACTTCCTCCCGTACTAGAAAGCCCACCTTCTGGATCTCATGGCTTCTTTCTTCATTTATGCTCTTCTTTAGTTGGAAGTTTGGGTGGAGCTACCCAATGGAGGTTTGACTGCTAGTCAGTCATTAAATTTCCTCAAAATGGTAATTAGACAGTTTTGTGGTGGCCGTGGCTCTGTTGGGTTACTTTGTTAGAGAACCTGAAAAAAATCTCTTTTATCCAGTGTTTTCCTTGCTAAACTCTGTGTCAGGGTGGGAGAAATGTTCTTCAGACAAAATAAGAGGAACAATATGGCCCTAGTTCTTTACAGAACCTCCCAGCATGAAATCACATGCTGATGCAATCTGCTCATACAAAGATACTTTATCAAGAAAAAGAAAAATAACCTCATTGTTTGTGCTCATGCTTTGTACCAAAGAATGCAATTAAATACAAGAAAGTACCATCTAGTTAGTCTTGATAATGCAAACTTTTTGGGAAAAACAACCTGTCCAAGATTGGTGTCACCTTCAGATGCCACTGATAATTTTCTCGTTGCACAGATTATTAGACCCAGCTCAACTGGGTGTTACACTAATGTTACACTAATTCTGATGATGGAAATGCGCAACTCAGTGTGCATCACAGGTCTCAAATCAAAATATTATGAAAGAGAAAATTACTATAATCCTAGCTACTCAGGAGGCAGGAGAATCCCAAGTTAGAGACCAGTCTGGGCAATGTAGTGGGACCCTGTATCAAAAAAATCTAAAAAAAAAACCTAACTAACTAAAAGGGGAGCTGGAAATGTAGCTCAGTTGAGTGCTTGGCTAGCATGTATTAAGTCCTCAGTTCCATCCTGACACACACACACTAAAGCAAGGCCTTCAAAATGCTAAAAAAAATATATTATTTCCAATTCAGAATTCTATACTCAAACTGTCAAATGTGAAGGTAAAGCAAAGACATTTTTAGGCATGGGGAGTCTTTTTCAAATGTAACATTTCTCAGTAAACTTTAGGGAAAGTAGTACACCCTAGCAACAGAGTGAACCAAGAAACAAATGTGAGCCACAAAGGATAAAAACATTAATTCAGGAGAGAAAGGAAAGGAATCTTTAGGATGCTGGTAAAGTAACAGCCAGGCAGCATCACATATGACTCTGAAGATAAATGGCTTGGTTTTGGTTTTGTTTGTTTGTGGTACTGAGCATCAACACAGCACCTCACAGTGCTAGGCAAGTGCTCTACCACCGAGTTACATCTCCAGATCAGGAGACAGTGTCTTAAAGGCCATTATCTTTCTGAGGAGGAGCACCAAGATGGTGCAGTAGTAAGCATCAGAGAAACAGCTTCTCTGAGAGTTGCCATCTAGACACTGAAATAGAGCAATGTGAGGAAGAAAAGAAGGAGGGAAGTGGGTCTTCTAGACCCAGGAAGGATCCGAAGCATGAATTGAAGCCCACAGAGAGAGTGAAGTGAGAAACTTCAATGAAGATGGAGGAGGTAGCCAGCGGCACCTTCTCCCTTAGATGGGATTCACTGCACGAGAGGAGTGGTTCAAACCTGTGGATACATGGTGACTGCTGGTGACCCCAGAGGCCTCCACGGAGAGACACAGCAGACATGAAGGACTGTACTAGCTGGCAGTGAGTGCTAAGGGTTCAGTCACCCATGCGAGAGAGTGATTGGCCATCTTGGAGAGGGGCTGACCGAGCTCAGAACTCAGAGTGGCTTCTGGCTCCATCTAGCACCTCCCAGCTGGCCCATAGAAGGTGGCCTGGTAGCTACAGGCCAAATGAGTCTTGTCTCAGCCAGAAGGTGCAGGCTCACTGAGATTATCCACTACCCCAACAAAAAGCTACTACTGACTTTCTGGGATAAATCAACACAGATCTGGACTCTGTCTCCACACATTGTCTACCAGTGACAGCACAGACAAACCTGGAAGTAGACTTTTTTCTCTCTCTCTCTCTCTTGTTTTTTTGTGGTGGTGGTGGTGGTTTGGTTTGGTTTTTTGTTTTTGTTTTCTCCTTCATTGTTTGATCTTGTTTTTATATGGCTATGAATGTGGTTTCTAGCCTCTCTGTGGCTGTAGTTCTTTCTGTTCCTTTTATCTTTTCCTTCTCTCTTTCCCTTCAGTCTTCTGCACTAGTTTCCCAAAGTTAGCATGATCCCCCTTTGTTGTCCTCCAGCATTACTTCTAATCTCCCCTTCTTCTTCCACTTCTCTATTTTCTCCCTAACCCATTTTAAATTTTAACCCCTCAGGGAAAAATTGACATATTAAGGACTTGTATACTGCATATAATTTTTTGGTTTGTTTTGGATTTTGTTATATAACCACAAATCTAGTTCATACAGTTAAAGGTGGCAAATTAAGAGTTAGCTCAGTGTGTCATTTTCTAGGCTGCATTTGATGCTGCTGTCATTGCTGATGGTACCACTATAGCCAAAAGTGACACAATTGTTCTAAACACCTGTTCTTCCTGGTATTCCAAGACTGACACTGACTAAGGATCACAGAAAATACTGTGGCACAGTGTCAAGGAACCAGGGGCTGGACCAAACAGGCAGAAACTTCTCATCCTCAACAAATTAAAGAGGTAAGATCTTGCAACAGACTCAAAACTCAAAAGCCAGCTACATTGAAAGATACTTCAGAGAAGCAGTCACTTCTTAAGGGTTCTAAATACTAGCGATAAAGCAATCCACCATAGGCAATTTACAAGCATTACCCCAGAAATTAAACAAAAAAAGAAGAGAAAATGAAAAGACATTTAAACAAGATGCAACCCCAGACATCTAGTTCAGCAAAGGCAAACCCAGGGGGCAATGAGGGGAACAATCTGAAAGCTACCAACCTGGCCTCTATTATTTGTAACAACAAATAATTAAATGAGGTACTAGAAAAAAATCAAATCAGAAATAATTTTGCACGTAACTTCAGAGATGGTGTCCACAATGAAAACCATGCTTAGTGACTCTAGAGCACATACAGATAAAAAAAAAAAATAGAGGCACTTAAGAACATTATGAAAGCCATGAATGCTCAGCATAGGAAAGAAATGGAATTCAAGCAGATATCCAGGAGAATAAAAATTCCACTGAAAGTATCTGCAGCAGATTAAGCCAATGTGAGGACTGGATCTCAGATACAGAAGACAGGCTTGCAGTTAGCTATTATGAAAATAGCTAGGGGCCATGAGAAATCAGTCCAGCAGCTGCTAGATGAGGCAAATAAGAATAACTGAAGATTGATTAGAGTCAAACCAAAAAGCAGGAGATAGCACAAATGATATTAAAAAAAAAAATGAACTGTTCACAGACATCATGGAAGAAAACTTCCCTGGCAGGGAAAAATAATTTGACATACAGTAAGTGAGGCATATAGGACTCCAATTAGCCACAATCAAAAAAATCTACAGCCAGGCATGTCATAGTCAAGATTGTGGAAATTCAACACAAGAATAGAATCTTAAAAACTGTTACAAAAAAGAAACAAATCACCTATAAAGGAAAGCCCATCAGAATCACAGCTGTCTTCTCAGCACAAACCCTCAAGAAAAAGAGAGCTTGGAGTGAAGTATTTCAGGCTCTAAAGGAAAACAACCTTCAACCCAGAGTAATGTACCCCACAAACTATCTTTCAAAACTAATGGAAAAATAAAATACTTCCATGACAAAGAACATCTGAGGAAATGTATGACCACTAAACCAGCACTCCAAAATGTTTTGAAGGACATTCTAGAAAGAGATAACAAGGACTACAACTCCATGAACCCTAACAGAAGGAATCCACCAGGCAAAGCAAACAAACAGGGGGAAAGGGGGTGAGCCCAACAACAGAAAAATAAAATGACAAGGGTAAGTCAACACATATCAGTTATAACCATCAATGTTAATGGTCTCAATTCACCAATCAAAAGACACAGACTGGCAGAACAGATCAAGAAGCAAGATCCAACAATATGCTGCATATAAGAAACACATTTAATTCCAAATGGAACTCATAGACTGAAAGTCAAAGGATGGAAAACAATACTCCATGTGACAGGAACCCAGAAAAAAAGCAGGGGCAGCTATTCTACTTGGAGACAAAGTGGATTTCAAGATGAGACTGATTAAGAGAGGCAAAGAAAGTTACTATATTCTTGTAAAAGGAATAATCCAAGAGGAAGAGATCATAATCATAAATATATATGCAACAAATACCAGTGTACCCAACTATATAAAACAAATATTAATGGACATGAAAAATCAAATAAGCATTAATACAATTATATTGGGGGATTTCAATACCTGAATGTCACAAAAAGACAAAAGGTCAACTAGACAAAATATCAACAAAGAAATATTAGAACTGAACCAAACTTTTCCACAAATGGACTTAGTAGATGTTTACAGAGTGTTCCACCCCACAACATTAGAATACACATTCTTCTCAGCTGCACACAGGATGTTTTCCAAAATAGACAACATACTAGCTCATAGAACATACTTAAGTAAATGCAAAGGAACTGAAATTATTCCATGCATATTATCAGACCATAGTGCAATGAAATTGGAAACCAATGGCAAAAGAAACCACAAGAATTTCATAAACACATGGAAATTAAATAGCACCCTCCAACCAATGGGTCATAGGTGAAATTAAAGAAGAAATTAGACAGTTTCTACAATTAAATGATAATGATAATACAACATACCAGAACTTATGGGACACAATGTAAGCAGTCCTATGAGTGAAATTTATAGCAGTGAATACCCATATCAGGAAAACAGAGCAAGTGCAAATAAACACCTTAATGGTGAACCTCAAACTTCTAAAAACAAGAAGAGCAGACTAAGCCAAAAGCTCATACAGGAGAGGAAATTATAAAGATCAGAGCAGAAATTAACATATTGGAGACTAAAAAAAAATACAAAGAATCAATGAACTAAAGAGTTGGTTCCCTGAAAGATTAAACAAACCTTTATCCAACCTTATCAAAAAAAGGAAAGACTCAAAATGTAAAGAGTGAAATCACAACAGACCCTGCAGAAATCCACAAGATCATCTATGCCTACTTTAAAAACTTGTATTCTAATAAGATGGAAAATACAGAAGAAATGGACAGATTCCTAGATATATATGAATTGTCCTGCTGAGGTCTCTCCACCCCAGATCGCTTGATTCATTGCATGTTTTTAGCTTGCCATGCCCAGGAACTAATGAAATTCTTCTCATGGCCCTGCCCTCTGTCTTTATGAAGAGGGCTTTTGTCACTTCTCAGGGAAGCTACAGCTGGATGATAATTCAGAAACTCCAGCAGAGGGCTGGGGATTTAGCTCAGTGGCAAAAGCGCCCGCCTGGCAAGCGCAAGGTCGTGAGTTCGGTTCCCAGTACCGGAGAAAAAAACCAAAAAAACAGAAACTCCAGCAGTCTTCACCAAACATTGGCAATATTGTCCTTTCCTTACTTAGATATGTACTACTGAATATTTATGTTAACCTCCCTTAACAGCCTTATATATAAATGTCTGATGAACAATAATAAGCCAATTGATTGAGAAAAATAAGAAGTTAGCCATTGGATCATTGTCTAACATCTCATAATAGAGAGGAAAAGGAACCAACTAACCAAAATAGGGGTCAGTGGAGTAAATATAGGTGGTTGTCAGCAGTGTGAGGGACACTGAGGCTGATCCCTGCAGGTGATGGTGGTGAACGCTCCCCACCCAAGTCACTGTGGCCCAGAGAGGTCAGCAGACAAGGCACTGGGTAAACCAAGCAAAAGGAACAAGATAAGGACAAGCACAAATATTTCTACCCTAATTTATCAAGCTCATTTTTTGAGTCAGCTTTGTGCTGAACTAGTCTTGGTTTACTCCCTTGCTTTGATGGACTATTTGTCCTAAAGTTTCACATGGAAACCCTCCAGCCTGTCTCCCTAGCTCCAAGGTCAGCTACCATTTGTGCATGACCAAGTTTGAGGACCTTGGCTAAATCTCCCAAGGTCATACAGCTGGCAAAAATGCAGGGCCCAGATCCAACCCAGGTCTGTCCATCACAGTAGCCAAGGAAAAACAGACTGGATCTCAAAAACTAAAAATTAAAAATGAACAACTTGGAAGATCCTAATCCTAACCTCATCATTCACTGAAGAAAAAAAAAAAAGAAATATATATATATATATTTTCTTTTGCACCAATAGCCATGTAAAGCTGGACAAGACGGCCCACATCCTGTAATCCCGGCTACTCTGGAGGCTGAGGCAGAAGGATTGCTGATTTGAGGGTTGCCTGAGCAACACAGAAAGACCTCATCTCAAAAACAAAAAAAGCCACATAAGAATTCTTTCAATGTTCCCCACCCCATCTGCAACAAAAATGAGGAAATAGCAAAAAAGCAAGGGAGAAGTGAGGTAATCAAAGAAATTCAACGAAGCGTGAGCAAAATCAGACTAAGTAAACAAACAAAACTGTATCTTGGAATCTCCTGGATTGCCTCCTGGATTGTCTTCTGGGCTTTGGAAGGCTTGAGGACAGTGCTGTTTATAAGCCTGATGTGGCTGATCAGACAGACCTGGGCTTCAAATCCTGCCTCTGTCACTCATGCACAGCTACACTCACCTTCTCGGGAAAGACAGATACAGGTTTGGAGACTCGACAGTTATGTGTTGAATGAATTAATGGCCATAGACAAATTACATAAGCCCTGGGAGCCTCGGTTTCACCATCTGTAAAGTGGGAATAATAAAGACTGCTTCCAAGCTAAGGAGGGTCATCTGGCACTGGGTGGCCAGGGAGGGCTCAGCAACAGGCCTGGTTATCACTGCTATGACTCCCTTCCTTGGCCATTGTCTCCTTATCTGCACTGATCTGCATTGGCAACTTGCGCGTCTCCCCACCCTGACTGTGACAGCCTCGGGCACAGGAATCACACCCATCTCGGTTATTTTGTTCATTCTTCTATCTCAGTCCACTCTGATGTCCAGTTACTATCAGCTGGGGAAGTTGTCTGGCTCTGGGGGAAGGAGACACAGGCTGGGGACGAACCTGGTCACTGCGGGCAACTCCGTAGCGCAACTCATTCACAAAGTGCTCGCAGTTCTCGCTGGTCAGCTTGTAGAGCACCTCCTGCCCCACCAGTTCCTCTGCCCGCTGGACAATTTTGCTGGGAGGCAGTGGTGAGTACTTGTTATCATGTTTGTTGTTGACCTGGTACTTGTCACTCCCGGCCACATCATACAGCAGCTCCTTCCTCACGACAGCCTTGTCAGTCAGGGTGGACATGATGCTGCCCATACCAGCTCCCGCGACTTCACCTATGGATACACAAAGAGGAAACAGAGGAACTGGTCCCAGGTAGGCCTCAGGGTCTCAGAACCGGTCCCCAGATGGGCGTCCGCCCTTGGCACCATGCACAGGGCATAATCAAGATATGGAAGGGTCATACACATGGCTGGGTGGCCCTGGGCTCCAGTATCCTTATCTAAAATAAGGACTAGTAAAGCTCTATGATTTACTGAGATTTCTTTTAACCAAGAGATACTGTCATCCTGTGATACCTAAGCAGCCTTCTTTTTTTTGTTGTGTTTTTTTTTGTTGTTTTTTTTTTTTCAGTACCGGGGATCGAATTCATGACTTTGTGCTTGACAGACAGGCGCTTATGCCACTGAGCTATATCCCCAGCCCTCAGCGTTCTTGATTATGCAAATATGAGCTACAAGTGTACTCATCATTTGGGAGAGCAAACCATGTGAACCTTTCATGGTTCCATCAGGACTACAGGTCCTTGAACTCACAAAGTTTTTGGCAGGAACGGTAGCTGATGCTCAGGAGTGCCCACTCTCCTGGGAGCAAAGGGACCAAAACCTCACAGCTGCTCCCCTAGATGCAATGTTCAGGAGGCCCCGTGGGCACATTGGCAGCCCTGGCCAAGGACCAGAGGCTAAGGAGGGGCAACAAAGCTCCAGAAATGAACCTGGCAAGCATGAGGTCCTGAGTTTGACTCCTAGTACCCCCCTCAAAAGGAATCTGGGTTCAACACAAGGACCAGGACAATCTTGGGTGGCAGCTAACACCAGTACAGCCTGGCCAGCCCTCCGAGCCCAGCCAATCTGTACAGCATGATGGTTGAAGAGGGAGGTGTTACATGTTACCTGAGAGAGACCCTCTCCACTAACATGTCACGCTCCACAAGCAACAGAAAACCACTAAAGGGCCATGCTGCCCTCAGCAAACAGAACAGATGGCCATAAAGAAAATTTAGGAGAAGACATACAATCTCCCCAGTGCCAAAAAGTCCAGAATTATCTACACACCTGCACTGACCATCCTGGGAACTTTAACCCCAACATTCCACCCAGATTCCTTGGGGTTATAAGCCTTTCCCCAAGTCCTATAAAAACTTAATTTCTGCTGAAATCATTCACACATTTATAGAATAAATCCAGCCCTTTGCTCACATAAAGCCTGTGTGTCTGGGTGGTTTCTCATGCACCACTGATAACATACTGGTGTCAGAATACGGTAATCTGTCCTTGGAGGACCCTACGCCCTATCTCGAGCCTTTCATCCTACTGAGGCCACATGGTGACACTGGCCCACCGGGCCTTGATCCAGTGTTCCAGGCAGCTCCTGCCACTCCAAGTTGCTTCAGACTGGTTAAGATTCTCCCGGCCCCTCTCCTGCCTTTCCACCCTTCTGCCCACTTCCCTACTTTCCAGGCATATTAAACCCAGCACTGGTCACAGAGATCCCCAGGAATACTGACTTCCCTTGGTGGCTGATCAATTGCAGGGAAATTGCCTTGGTCACTCACCTATGCTCTGTTATGGCCCCGAGTCCCAACTGGAGATGTCCATTGTGGATCTCATTGTTGCTTTCATGGGAAACCTCTCTCTGCTCCCCAGGGGAAATCTTCCTTCTTCTATTCCCCCTTCCTCTCCCCTAGCCTGTCTCTTAAATAACCTAAAATAACCTAAATAACCTTCATCTCTACCCTGATCTGAAGCCCAAATATCTAGTATTCTTCTGCAACACCATGTGGCAACAGACAAAGTAGACAATGGCTCACGCTGGCCAAAAACCAGTACTTTTGATTTCTCTATTCTGCAGGACTTAGACAATTATCGCTGGAGGCCGAGCAAACAACTGGGGGTGCCCCATGTCCAGTCATTCTTTATACTCCACACAATTACTACTTTGTGTCCCTCTTCTGTAGCCCCTCCACCAGACACAGACTCCTCTTAGTAGATGTATACAAAGTGTTTCACCCCACAGCATCAGAATACTCATTTTTCTCTGCTGCACATGGGACTTTCTCTAAAACAGACCACATTCTAGTCCATAGAATATGCCTACCAAAATGCAAAAGAAATGACATTCTCCCATGCATATTATTTGACCACAGTGCAACCAAATTGGAAATTAATAACAAAAGGAACTCCAAAAATTCCATAAACACTTGGAAATTAAACAACAACCTCCTGAACAACCAATGGGTTACAGAAGAAATTAAAGAAGAAATTTAAAAGTATCTACAAATGAAAATGTAAATACAACTTACCAGAATCTGTGGGATGCAATGAAAGCAGTCCTCAGAGAGAAATTTATAGCGGTGAACTCACACATAAGGAAAATAGAAACAGAACAAATAAATAGCCTAATGCTGCACCTCAAACTTTTAGAAAAAGAAGAACAAGTCAAGCCCAAAGCCCAAAGAAGGGAGGAGATTATAAAGATCAGGGTAGAAATTAATGTAACTGAAATGAATAAAACCCTACAAAAAATAAATGAATCAAAGAGTTGGTTCTTTCAAAGAATAAATAAAATTGATAAACCCCTAGCCAACCTTATCAAAAAAAGAAAGGAAAGAAGTCAAATTCATGCAATAAGGAATGAAAAGGATGAAATTCCTACAGATCTTACAGAAATTCAGAAGATCATTAATACCTACTTTGAAAATCTTTACTCCCACAGGATAGAAAACTCAGAAGAAATGGACAGATTCCTAGATATGTATGAATTACCAAGGTTGAATCAAGAAGATATAAAAATCCTGAACAACCCAGTATCAATTAATGAGATTGAAAACATGATTAAAAACTTACCGAAAAAGAAAAGCCCAGGCCCTGATGGAATCACAGCAGAATTTTACAAGAAATTCAGAGAAGATTTAATACCAACACTCCTCAAACTCTTCAATGAAATTGAAAAAGAAGCAATTCTCCCTAACTCATTTCTGGAGGCAACCATTATACTGATACCAAAACCAGAGAAAGACCCAACCAAGAAAGAGAACTACAGACAAATCTCCCTAATGAATATAGATGCAAAGATACTCAATAAAATACTAGCAAATAGAATGCAGCAAATCATCAAGAAAATCATACACCATGACCAAGTCAGATTCATTACAGGAATGCAGGGATGATTCAATATTTGCAAATCAATAAATGTTATACACCATATCATTACAGCCAAAGACAAAAACAGATCCAACTGACCTCGCTCTCCCCTGGCAGCTTCCTGCAGGGCTGTAGGCACCACTCCTCCCCCAGAGTGCAGCCACTCCCTCCCCTCCCACAGGACCTTCTGCTGATCTAGCTCCTATCCCTTCTATCTAGCTGGCACTTACCCTTGACTGTAATGCTCCTCCCTACACTGCACCTGACCCCACTCCACCTTACACCTGATCTGGATTCCAGTCTGGACCCAAAATCTTGCCCCTCACCCCTTCCCCGTTCCCACTCTGTGAGGTGGAGTCGAGGGAATAGTCTGAGTTCATGTTCTTTTCTCCCTGACAGACCTCTCCCAAATTAGTCAGCATCCGGGCTCTTCCTCTGATCCCACCCAATATATACAAGAATTCCAGTACTGGTCCAATCATATAACCTTACCTGGGCAGATTTAAATGTTATCCTTAGTTCCACTCTCTCCCCTGATGAACGGTTAAAGGCATCATGGTTCAAGGCACAGAATCCATAGCTGGACAGCCAGGGCTTAAGACACACTTAGAAAGTTTCTTACCTCCCTGAGTCCCCAGTTCCTTATAGAACAGGAACAATACAGGGAGCTGGGAGGATTAAAGGAGCTCTCACGGGAGTGTGACACAGGGCGAGTACAAACAGTTAGGGGTTGTTATTATTGAGACTGTCTGCTAAGCTTTCTTCCAACTGTAAGTCTACAATGCTCTCAGTAGCAGGAGGTAAGTTCTCCTGATCTCACCCATCCCACAAGCTCCTGGGAAGCTCAGATGACAAGATGTGAGTAGGGACATCTTTTCCCTTTATGAAGCATCCTTCACCTGATGACCTGCAACACATCTGTCCACCTTGAGGAGCTCACACTCCAGTAAGAGGGCACCAACAGTGAGCAGATACACAAACAAGGTACCTTTGTGTACTGAAAAACTCTGTGCAGAACGCTAAGGGATGTGACCTGGGAGCTAGGGTGGAAAGGCCACCCCACAAAAGGGCATCCGTACTGAGACTTGGGTGGTAAAGAAGTAGCTGTGCTAAAAGCTAAGAAAGCTCATGCTAAGCAGGAAGAACAGCAAAGGCAAAGACCTCAGAAGAAACAGCGTGACAGCCTGGAAAGACAGCTATGAGGCCAATGTGGCTGAAGTTCAGAGACCTCGGATGAAAGAGGAGAAAGATCAGGTCCAGAGAGACAAGCAGAGGCTATGTCATCTGGGCCCCACTGCCCACAGTACAGAGATTGTTGTTTCTGGGTCAACTAGAATTTTATCCCACGCAGAAGAGAAAAGCTGCCAGGCGTGGTGCCCCCGTCTGTAACCCCAGCACTCAGGAGGCTGAGGCAGGAGGATCATTGCAAGTTTGAGGCCAGCCTGGGCTACAAAGTGAGCTCAAGGCCAGCCTGAACTGCATAGTGAGACCCTGCCTCAAAAGACAAAAAAAAAAAAAAAAAAAAAGGAGAGAGAGAAAAGCCAATGGAGACATATATTACAGGGCACAATTTTACAGCAGCACAATTCATAATAGCTAAATTTTGGAAGCAGCCCATGTGTCTATCAACAGATGAATGGATAAAGAAAATGTGATATTTATACTCGATGGAGTACTACTTTGCCATAAAAAAGATAACTGAGTCATTTGTAGGAAAACAGATGCACCTTGAGACCATAATGTTAAATGAAATAAATCAGACACACAGGCTTAACTATCACATGGTCTCTCTTATATGGGAAACCCCAAATAAAAATAAAGAGCAAAATAAAAGATACTAGAAAATAGGAAAATAAGTCTTTTGCAGAGGGGAAGGCAACCAAGAGATGGAAGGAGGGGAGAGAAAAGGGAGTATGAGGAGATGAAAAAAACAATTCAGATGTGTTATGTACAAGCACCAGCTCCACATATGGGAATGTAATCATTCTGCACTGCGAACATGTACCAATAAAAACCAAAAAGAGAAAAAGGAAGTGATACAAGTCAGAGGCTGCAGTTATAAGCTCAGGAGACACTGACAGACAGAAGGTATTCAAAGCCAGCGGGGTCATGGAGGCACTGATTCCATTCAGGGAAGTAGGAAGGGAGCAGGGGAATCCACAGGGTACCAAGAAGGAAAGACCCAAGCAGGAGAGGAAGAAAGGTGCTAGAGGGAAAGCAAAGAGGTCGCTCCTATCAAATGCTGCAAAGAGCCTAGTAGGCAGGGACCAGACCAGAATGCTGGCCTGGGCTTCATCAGGATGCAGAAAGCACTTTGTTACCCTTGATAGGAGCCACTCTAGAGGGGCACAAAAGAGCCTGCGGGATGCTGAAGGGAGAATGGGGAGCGGGGAGTCTGTGATGGCCGGAAATGACACAGGGCTGAGACAGGGCCTGTAGGTGTGGTGTTTTATCAACAGGAGCTACCGCCAGGGTTTCTAGTCGGTGGGGAGAAGATGACAATACAGAAGCTGAGAGGGAATTCAAGAAGCGTTTGTGCTAGAGGAGTACCAGGACCCAGGCCTGGGCCCACAAGTAGGGGCCAGTTTTTAAGGGCAGGGCAGGGTGCTTTTTGCATTTTAACAGAAGAAAAGATAGGTTATATGCACGCAAAGCCTCTTATATGAGAAACCCCACATACGAGGGGGCGGAGAGGATGCCATCTACTTAGTTTCCTGTGCTATCTCTGTAAGTACAAGGTGAGGCCAGGGGCTCTATTCTTAGCAGCCAAAAGCTGAAACCAATACGTAAGGAGAATGTGCAACCCACTGTAGGGAAATACACAGCAACGAAAATCTCAGAACAATGCTACTCCCAACAACAAAAACGACTCCTGTGGGCAGAATGTTGAGTGAAAGAATTGTTGTGAGAATTCCCTAGACAGACACAAAAGAGCACGGGCTATGTGACTCCTCTTCCATGAGGTTCTAGAACAGGCGAAACTCTTCCATGGCAAGAGAAGCTGGAATGGGGCTGCTGGGCAAGTGGGGGGCACTGAGGAGGCGAGCAGGGGCTTCTGGGGTACTGAAATGTTCTGGATCTTGGTCTTGGACATTGTCACAGGCATAGATTTTTAAAAATTCACTTAGTGTACATTTTTACTATATTTGTGTTCTTTGTGTTCTACTCCACTGTAAGTAAAAGTTTACAGACAAGGGTAGGGAATTCTCACAACAATTCTCCACGTTAAGTACTCTTATTCCATTTACAAATAAAGAAACTCAGGCTAAAATGGGTACAGTGGTGCACACCTATAATCCCAGCACTCTGGAAGCTGAGGCAGGAAAATCACAAGTTTACGGCCAGCCTGGGCCACATAGTGAGGCTTTGTCTCAAAGAAAGAAAGAAATGGGAGGAGGAGGCGGAAGGTGAGGAAGGGGAGGGGAGAGGAAGGGACAGGAGGGGAAGTGAGAAGAGAAGGCTGGAGTAGAAACTGGATTTATAACCAAGTCTGCCCAAGTACCTGTGCTCCTTCTCGGAGCCTTAGGCTTAAGAGGGGAATGTGCTGTGTGCAAAACCACAGTACATAAAACACCTCTTACAAGAACAAGGGGTTCCAAGGAGCAGAGTTTGACTACCATTGCCCCACACAAAGCTGCCTGCTTCTACCACTCAGGAACAAACCACCAGTCGAAAGCAATGAGAAAGTTGGGGCTACTGTTACTCCCAGTTCCCCACTCCCTCTTCCCGGCCCTGGTGCCCTTACTTGGGGGAGCCAGGTGGACCACATATCCGTTGCCAACATAGATGGCCCAGTGTCTGTAGAAAGGGCGGAAAATCTCAATCAGGTCTCCAGGCTTGGGCTCTGGCTGCAAAACAAGAACAGGACTGTTAAACACAGCATGAGGCCAAAGAAGCAGAGGCTGCTTTGGTTAGGAAGGTGCAGTGAGCACCTCAGTAATCAGGTCAGCAGGACATATGTGGACATATGTCCCAATCCCTATCCTGCCAGTCTGATGCTGGTCGGCATCACAAGTCTGTGCTCCAGGGACATCCCCCCGCCAACACTTTTACAAATTAGAAAGGGCAAACCTGAAATGTTTCATAGGTGCTTTCCAGAACAGCAGGGTTGAAGAGTTGTAAGGCAACCATACAGCCTGAAAAACCCAAAATATTTATGACCCAGCCCTTTACAAAACATGTGTGCCAAACCCAGTTATAAAGGACCCACAGTGGTCCTGGGAACCCAGTTGTGTGCTATTGTCAGGTGGTTCTGTGCAAGGTCCAGATTAGCAGAGTAGCCCTTTCAGATTCAGCAACAGGGCAGGGGTACCTCCTCCAGGGCAGGGCCAGGGGACCCCGAGCCGCCCAGGAAGACTCTCCTACGCAGCACATGGATCACAATGGCAAAGCGAGACTCTGCACCCGTGGGATTTTAGAACAAAAAGCCTTTATCTTCCCCCACAAAAGCAGAGTTACAAAAAGCTGGAGAACAGCCATTCTCCTTAGTAAGCAAGTTGAGGAGCAATTTCTGCCTTTCAAAATTCATATAGGAAAACAACCCAAACAACCTCTATTAGAAGCAGTTAAATAAATTATTTTACAGCCCTGCATACATATGGCCATCAGAGAGAACAAGGTATTTACATGACCAGACATGGAAGTAAGTGAAAAAGGCAAGTTGAAAGACAGTATTATTCCATTCTTGCTTAAAAACATTTTTATACATTTATAATTAAAATGTACTATATACTATATGGTCTAAGGAAATACACCAAACTTTTATTGCATACAGTGAGTGGTTGAGACTCAGAGACTTTTATATTTTGTTATATTATTTGATTGTTTGATTTTTTTTTTTTTTAGTACTGGGAATTGAACTTAAGACCTTGCATTTGATAGTTTGAATTTTTAAGTATGAATTACTTTTTTTTTTTTTTTTTGGTTTTCTTCTGGTACCGGGAGTCGAACTTATGACCTTGCACTTGCCAGGCAGACGATGTGCCGCTGAGCTAAATCCCCAGCCCCTAAATATGAATTACTTTAATAAAAAAGATTTTTCAATGAGAAGAAAATCCTCATATTGATGAATTACAGTGTTTTAGTTGGAAAATGTAGACATTATCTGTTATCAGCCAGGTATGGTGGTGCATGCCTGTAATCCCAGCACTCGGGAGGCTGAGGCAGGAGGATCATTGCAAGTTGGAGACCAGGCTGGGCTACAAAGTGAGCTCAAGGCCACTGGCTGCAAAACAGGGAACTGCATAGTGAGACCCTGTCTCAAAAAAAAGAGACCCAAAAAAATCTGTTATCAAAACCTCATGAAACTATCTCCCAATTAGGGGTATTAGTTTTCTTTTTAAATATTTTCTAGTTTTTTAAAAAAATGTTTACCTAAGCATGTATCCATTTTAGAGTTAAAAAAAGAAAACTAAGACTTGATAAAAACCAGGGTGTTCAGGGGCTGGGGATTTAGCTCAGTGGCACAGCACTTGCCTGACAAGTGTGAGGTCATGAGTTTGATTTCCAGTACTGGGAAAAAAAAAAAAAAAAAACAGTGTGTTCAATTTTGGACAATCCATCCAATCACTTCATACCAAAAAAAAAAAAAAAAAAACAAGGTATACAAAACAAAAAAGGTTAGATAAGGTTCTGGTTCAATGGTAGAAGACTTGCATAGCATTTATTTAGTAAATACCACAAAAATCTAAAAAGAAAAACATACCAACATACTAGTGGACTTTCCCCCTGGCTGAGGCTTAGGATGGTTCTTGTAATTTTGCTTCCTTCTATTTTCCTATATTTTCCAAATTTTCTTCTACACTTTCAAGTTCCTAGCATGCTTTCTAACATGTTATTATAAAACATGGTCAAACATCCAATTTGAATTTTCAAACACTAGACATTGAAGGAAGTTTTTAAATTAATATTGGTAGGCCCAGTGCTATATTTGCTTTACCACAAATATATCCATGTATTCTTTTTTATTATATCATACCTCTAAACCCTCTTGTTGTTGTTATTGGTGGTGGTATTCATTTAAGTAATTTAAGAGCTCAAGCACTGAATCTAAGACACAAATAATAGGCAGAGGATGGGAGTGTGACATGCTCTCACTACATACTCCAGAGCTCGCTGGTTTCCCACAAACCTCGAGACCCCAGCCCTCAGCCCCAGCTGTAGTTTCCCAGCACAAACTGCAAGACTGGAGGTTGCTGACGTGCGCAATCACCCTGTATTTTTAGCAAATCCCCTCTTGCACCCCAGGTAAATGGATAGCCAATAATAGCCCCTAAAAGTCCCTTCCCCTTAGGGGATGTCCACCTCTCTGGTGGGTCAAGAAACTCATTCATTTGCTCCTTCACCCTACAGAAACTCACTGAGCTGTGTGAGGTGCTTTGTTCAATAGGGGGGAGAAAGTTGTTTGCTTGTTTGGTTTTTAATAGAAGTGAGCTTTTGCAAATGGGAAGGGAAACAAAAGTTGAAGGGAACAGAGGGGAAGGGGACAAAAAAAGGACTAAGTTGTGCAATGAACATGTGCAAGCCCCCCCACAATAAACGTAATCACTATGTACTGCAGCATGTACTAATAAAAAATTAAATTAAAAAAATGAGTAAGTAAATCATCTAGACTATTATAAAGGATACAAAACAAAACAGAAAGAGAGGCATTTGGGGTTTGGGTACGGATGGGGAGGGGCAGGTGCAATGTTAAATAGGGTGTGGGGGTGCTCACCACAGGGGAGTGAACCTGTGTGTCTAAGACAGCCTGGCACAGGGCACAGCCCCGGCAAAGGCCCCAGGTGGGATGTGTCTGAGAACAAGGAGGCCTTTGAGCTTGACTCTGATGGAGGCCACTACAAAGTATAGAGCGCAGGAGACACAGGACCCAACATAGGTTTTTAAAGGGCCCCCTGGCTGCTGCACTGAGAAGAGCTCACATTTAGAATGCATGGAGAAAGTAGGAGACCTATTCAGAGATCAGGGCAGGAGGTGATGATGGTTTAGATACACAGAGCAGACAGTGATGAGAAGTGCCTGGTGCAAAACTCACTGTGAAGGTTTAGCTACAGGTTTTGCCAATGGAAGGAGCAGGGGTGTGAAGGAAAGGGGCGTCAGATGACTCGAGTTTTCTGGCCCCAGAAACAAGGAAGCAGGGATGAGGCTGGCTGCGAAGAAGCAGGCTGAGGACTGCATGCTCAGGCAGGAGGATTGCTGTGAGTTCAAGGCCAGCCTGAACTGCATAGCAAGACCCTGTCTCAAATAAAAAAAAAAATAAAAAAAATAAAAAAAAAAGAATTGGAAGAGAGGAACTGAAGATGGTGTAGAAAGCTCAGAGCCTGAAATTTTTATTGAAGCCTTGAAAGATGAAGGCAAACCAGATGCGGTATGACAGAATTTGAACCCAGATCTAAGGATGTCTAAACCCTACACTGAACTGCAATCAGAGAAGATAATAGAGAAGAAGTGACCTTTAAACGGGTCTGTGAGACAGGTGGGGTGGGGCAGCAAGGAGAGGAAGGCAGGGCAGAGGGTTCCAAGTAGCAAAGCACTAGGGTGAGTGGGGTGTGGCCAGAGCAGGATCCTGGGGTGGAGCCCAAGCTTGGTGGTTTTTTTTAAAGTTCCCAGGTGATTCTACTCTGAAACCCAAAGTGAGACCCACAAAGAAAACAGCCTGAAAAGAGGCTGAGATGGGTGCACATGCTTCATTTCACAATGAAGTGGGGAAACTGAGGCTGGGGGAGATGAGGTCACCTGAAAGTGGCAAAGTTACATCGTGACTCCTACGAGTTCCCCCACCCCTGCAGGGTGGAGGAGACGCCCCTCCCCATGGCAGATTTCAGCCCCCCTCGGGAGTCCCTGCAGAAAGGCCCACACTCAGCCCCACAGCTTTAATTCTGTCCAAGCCCCCAGCCCTGGGCACTGGGCAAGACTGGGACAAAAAGGGACAGCACTTTCAGAGCCATTTCAACGCAAAGATTGAAACACAGCAGAAAGTGTTTTTCTTTCACTCAGGGACATTTCAGGCAGCATTCCGATCCACTCATACCCCATCTGTCTCACTAGGGTTTGGAGGATTTGATTGTTTTTTTATGAAATATTTCAGGAGTACAAAAATATAGAAAGTAGGAAAATCAGCATGACTGCTCTATTTTTCAATCAAGATGATTTTAATTTTCACAGGCAGTATAGTGATGACATTTAGGGCTCTGTGTTCAAACCCAGGCTCGGCCACTTGCTAACTGCGCAGGCCTGTTGCAAAACTAACAAGTGTCCTCAACTGTAAAATGGGGCTGATTGTAGCTCTGGATTCATAGGAATATCCTAAGGATCAAATTAGCCGGCAGCCACAAAACACTTAACACACAGGAATCGTTTAGTAAATACCAGTTTCTGCTGCCATCATGCCCGGTAGTGCTAGCTAGCTAGCTATTTATTTATTTATTTATTTATTTATTTATTTATTTATTTATTTAATCTGGATAGGTGACAGATGGCTCCTGGATCCCTGGGGAGGTTGTGAAACTCAAGACTGAGACTGTTTTCCTCCATGTTCCCAGAAACCACATGCACAGGTGAAAATCTCTGTTTCTCTTTCACTTGTGAGACTCTGGAGGAAATGTAAGAAGACGAAGCAAGTCCAATCTGGGTTGCTGACAAGGGACTTCCCAGCAGGGAGTCAGGAGTTTCCACGGCAAGGTTTTAGGAGAAAAAGAACGCATGAGGTGCTGGGTGTCAATCTCTCTGAGGCTGTGTACCAATAAGTGGAGCCCAGGCCACCCTCAGGGACTTCAGCTGAACCCTCCTGTGCTGTTGCTCTGTAACATTCAGTAATCACGTAACCTCTCTGAGCCTCTTGGTTGAACAGAACTGTCAATACATGTTCAGCAGGTTTCATATAAGGAATGATAAAGATGATGGGGACGAACACATAAAAGCACACAAACATACAAGTTATTAAAACATCGCACTCCACAGGCTCGGTGGGTGCAAGAGACACAGAAGAGGCTGGACTTCCCACACATCCCAGCCCAGGAAAAAGGTTGAGGAGGATAGAGAGGAAGCGGCCTGACTCATTATCACCCTTTTCCTTTCTGTCCTGTGCCCAAGCCTCCTTGCCAGCTGGAAGAGACAGTGGCAGCTCCAACAGGCACCAGGCCCAGCCTTGGGAGCCCAAAGGTCACAGGCATCCTGGGAAAAGAAAGCAAAACTCATCGGGCCTCCCACGCCCTCGACTGCTAAACCCCAGGCCTGTTATTCCGGGAAAAACCTCCATCCCTGATGGATCAGAACTGCCCTAAACTCACGCTCATCAACACCAAGCACTACGGGGTTTTCACCTGTCACTTGGAGGCCCACTCTACAGACCCAAAACCGAGCTCAGAAATGGGGATGACCTTGCCCCAGGTCTCAGAGCCCCGCAGAATCAAGACAAGGATTCCAGCACAGTTCGGCCTGAACCCAAAATTGAATGATACAGTGGGCAGCAGTGTGGGTACTCAGGGATATGGGAAAATGAAACAAACAGTGAAACATGTCTTTTTTGGAATTAAATCTGCAAACATGGAAACTGTGGCAGGGTAATCCTTTTACTTAGAACTCAATACATGGACAAAAGAACAGTTCCTCAAATGTTCCCTTGCTAGACATGGTTTAGTAAAAAGCCCATGACTCTGAGGCCTGGATCCCCCTGATGTCCCACCTGTACCTCTGTGCGACCAGGGGAAGTTACTTAACCTCCTCAAACACTGGTCTTCTCATGTACCCAGTGAATAATACCACTTTCCCTATAGAATAGTGTGAATTTAATTAAATTTATGTAAGACATCTGGCACAATTTGTGGCCCATATTAAGTATAACACAAATATTAATTTTCCACTCCTGTTAAAAAAGAAAAGGCCAATTTTTCGTGAGTGAGTAACCCACACAAAGGTGCTTATATCAGGCACCAGCTCTGCTCCATAGGGCAAGACTTACTTCTGCATCCAAGCACCCCAGGGCTGTTCGCCTGACAAACTCGACTCATCCCTCAAGATGGGGGTGTATGGCTCAGTGGTAGAGTGCTTGGCTCCCATGCATGAGTCCCTGGGTCCAATCCTCAGCCCCACAAAAAAACGGTCTCAGGGTCAGCATCACCACTCCTCAACGTCTCCCTGACTCCCCAGAGCAACTTACTGCTGCTTCCACAGGCATAGCCCTTTTTAGAGAATGACTGTAATTGTAGGGCTGGGAACAAAGGAAGAGTGATCAGTTATGTCCATCCAGAGACAGGAAAGGAATCATCATTAAAGAAAAAAATTATTTATATATTTATATTGCTACATTTTATATATATATATATTATATATAGCAGTTCTTATTTCTTATTCTTTTAAAACCTTTGTCCTTTGCATGGAAGTTAAATGGAATAACATAGCTACATAGTCAGCCCCAGACTCAGCCCCTTACATCTATTTGAACCGTCTGCTCCTGATGGCACAGCATGATTCAAGTTCACTTTATACACGTTTTATGTTGTCAACCCTGTGGTCCTACATTTTCTGAGTTTAAACAAAAAATAAAACAGTCTGGTCTCCCAGTGCCAGAGAAACTAAAGCATGACTAAGAACTACTTGGTCTACAGCAATGGATGAAATAAATGTCAAATTTCACAATCATTCACCCATTTGCCCAGATTTTCACAGAGGAAGAAAAACTTGGGGAAATTTTTCAAGTAAAATAAAAATGTATGATGCATTTTTTGGTTTAGGGTTTTACTCAAAATTGCTTTAAATGTGGAGATGTTTAAAAGCCACTAGAAGCCAGATGTAGAGATACACATCTATAGTCCCAGATACCCAGGAGGCTGAGACAGGAAGGTTGCTTGGGCCCAGAAGAAGTTCAGCTTGGACAACATAACAAAACCTTGACTCAAAAAAAAAAAAATTAATAAAAATAAAAGCCACTAGAACTGGTTTTTAAAAAAGCATAGGTCGTTTCCAATTTCTGGAATTTATTATCAATGAGATTTTTATGAATCCCTGCCAAAATAATCCTACTGTTTAAGGCTTTTCCTCATTCATTAAGTGTTGTTTCCTGGAAAGAAGTTTTCCAAATTAAAATTAATAAAAGTATTCTTTAACCAATTGTGAACAAAGATGTATTGACAAATCAAGCGCCAGTGAATATTGAGCATGAATACACAAAGATCAACTTTTGCCAAAGTCACAGGGTTTTTCAGGGGTTTCTAGAACAAAATTTATAGTATTATAATTATTTATTACTGTGACCAACCTACATGGAAGAATAAATGTTTCACCAGGCGTGGTGGCACACGCCTGTAATCCCAGCACTCGGGAGGCTGAGGCAGGAGGATCGTTGTGAGTTCGAGACCAGCCTGGGCTACAAAGTGAGCTCAAGGCCATCCTGAACTGCACAGTGAGACCCTGTCTCAAAAAGACCCCCCCAAAAAAAGAATAAATGTTTCCCTTTTTTTTAAAATATACATTAATGCAGTTAATGCATTAATTTTTCTGCTTTTGTAATATCAAGTTTAATTTCTCATTACTTTTTTACAGGCATGATTACATATATAATGTTCAATAAAAGAAAATATTCACTGCATTTCTTTTCTGGACATTCATTATCACTATTCACTTCTAGAACACTATTGAAAATAATGTCAGAGAGATGAAAGAGCCTTAAAAAGTGAACACTTCAGGGGTCAAATATGCCAGGGATGCCCCAGTGCCAGGCACCATGCAAGCCCTTTTCGTTGACTGGGCTCTCAGAATGTGTGCCAGGCTGTTCCGAGCATGTCCTAAGTTTTCAGTGGTAAAACCTTCACCCTGGGAAACAGAGTACATTTGAACTTGATCAAAGCCTCACAGTGGGGTGTTCAGTGGGAATTCAACCCCAGGTGGGTCTCAGCCACTCTGTGAAGGTCCTACCAAGATGAGGGAGGATCTGCCAAGCCTCACAGATTAGAAAGATGAAAAGCCCGAGCCGGGAATGTGGGTCAGGACTGATCGTGACCGCACCCGGGCTCGTGCAGAGAACTCTCTGCTTTGTGCCTAGCTTTCCTCGGGCAGCGAGGCCTCCCGACCTGCCTCCAAAGGGACAGTGTGCGAAGATACCTGACTCTCCTTAGACACCTGATGCCCAGCAGCCTACGGAGGGCCGGTGGCCACGTCCGCAAGGGTCTTCCCTGCAAATAAGTCAAGCTTCGAGAAGAGTCACCTGGAAAACAGGACCCCGCCCTCGCCCCGCACTTACAGTGGGAGCAGGCATCTCCTCTCTCGATGTGACCCTCGCGGTCAGAATGACTTCGCTCTATCAGTGGCGGAAATGCCTGAGGTAGAGAGAGCAGAAGTTCATTATGTCAGTGACAGAACAGCGTTCCCAGGACTCAGGGGCCCGCGGCTTCCAGTCGGAAGGCGGTGCAGAGTCAGTCTCGTCTCTGTCCCCGCCCAGAACAACCCCCTGACTCCTCCAGAGGTTCCCGCCGGGCCCCTCCTGACCCTCCCCTTGGCCTTGAGTAGACCGATCCGCTGCAGGGGAGCACGAACGGCTCACCAGAAACACCAGCGGTGCGTCTGGGGCCGGTTTCCCAGAGAGGCAGCCTCTGGAGCAGCTCCCCCGCATGACTCCGCCCCGCGTGGCTCCTCCCCCGCTACAACCACGCCCCTTCCCTGGCCGCGCCCCTTCCCTGGCCACGCCCCCAGGGGAGGAGGGAGGCGGAGCGACCAGCTCGTCCGGTCTGTTTATACCCGTACAACTGGAATTCCGACTCTGACGCAGCCCTTGGTAACCCTGAGAGGCATCCCAAAACGTCCCCACTTCCTAGAAACAACTGCTCCACCTGCCTAGCGCACTCGGGAGTCAGGCCGGCCGCCACCGCATTAGGGCCTGGATTAAAGGCCACAGAGCCCTAGTCAGGGCTCCTCCCCCGACACTGTCTGATGCCCGTTGCCCCCGCCTCAGCACAGCTGGATGCCTCCACCTCCCCCGTCTGCCTCTTCCTTGCTGTCCTGGTCTGAGGCGCCGCTGTCTTTGCCCGTCAGCACCCAGTAGTTAAGAACCCTAGCCGAGTGCTGTGGCGAATGTCTGGAATCCCAGCACTTGGGAGGCTGAGATAGGGGGATCGCTAAGATTTCTCAGCCAGACCGGGCTACACAGTGAGTTCAAGGCCACCCTCCACCACATAGCGAGATCCTGTCTCAAAAATAAAATAAAATTAATTTTAAAAGGCAAGGAATGGTCTAAGTAGAAAGTATTGTACTTTAAACTGTTGGGTCGTAAGGTATGGGATATCCCCAATGCCTTCAAAAACTCTGGCACACAGCAAGCATTCCATAAATGAATGAATGGGTCGAATAGTCAAGCACAGGCCCTTCCTCTGCCCTGGACCCTGAGTTCCCGAGAATCAGTTGTTGTTCAACTCTATATTCCTGCCACTCAATACCAGCAGAGTTTTGGAGTCAGGATGCGTAGGCCAAGTCGTGGCTCTGCTCCTTGCTAGTTGTAGAATCCATGGTATGATTTCCTCTCTGAGCCTCAGTTTGCTCATCTGTAAAATGGGGTGATGTAAGCATATGTTATTCTCCAAGGAAAGAACAACACATGGGATGATGCCTTTAAAATGACCAGTCATTTGTCTGGCATGTGATAAATCCTTAATCAGGACATGTTACTAACATGAAAAGAATGTGCTCTTCAACTTCACGTGGTACTCACCTGCTGCTTGAGAGTCAGGGGCATTGTTTTAAAATGCCAGCATTTTATGTGCGTTATCACTCAGCCAACCCATTGCTAAGCACATTAAGCTAGTGACTGTGAGGTCACCCAAACCCAGGAGGAAGAGGTTCCATTTTGAGGACATGAGAGTGACTTCTGCCTCTCCTCACCCTCTGCTTCCAGATGGATGCAGATGTTACCTCCCTTGTTTCCATTTTTGCCCCAGATAAAAGCAAAACAAAAAGCATGCCAGGGTGGGGTTGTAATTTTACTGCAAGTATATATTGTACTGAAGTATATTTTTTACTTTTTCTGCACATTATGGTTCATGTCTGGATGTTCACCCTTCAAACCTCATGCATTCATAGCTGGGGCTTTTGGGAGGGGACTGGATCGTGGGTGTAGATGCTCATCAGAGGACTAGGCCACTGGTGGTTTTGTAGCTAAATGTGATGTTAGGAAATGCAGCCTGGTCAGAGGAGGCGGGTCACAGGGGATGCGGCAGATTGACAACTGGTGGTCAACTTGTAACACTCAGCTGAACTGAACCAGTGTGGTGCTGGGTCGGGGAGGCCCACCTGAGGGTTGTTGCCGGCAGCATAAGGGGCAGAACTCGAGAAGAAGAGAGGCTGTAGGAAGCTGTAAGGAGCTGTTGCTTCTCTTGGAGGAGCTCATCATGCTGGCTTTCCTGATGAACTTGGCTGTTCTCTTCATCGAAGGAACTTGGGATTTTACTGTCACTGAGAATGGCTACGGTTCACTTTGGGGGAGCTTTGGCCCTCACTTTGAGCATTGTTTCCTGGCTCCGGAGGGGAAGATGGTGCCCTGCTCAGTCTCCTGGAGCTTGTCAAGTTCGCTTTCCTGATGGGAACTCGGCTTTCCTCATCATCAGAGGAGCTCGGAACCTCACTGTTGCTGAAGACAGCTGTGGCACTTTTCAGGGGAACTCGGGTTCTTACTTTGAGTGTCCCTTCCTGGCTCCAGTTCAGATCCCTCAGCCTGCTAGCACAGATCCTTCATCCCGCTGGCACAGACTTTCTAGCTTCCATCACTGACTTAGGGCCTTCCCAGCACAGGTCTGTGAAACAGGCCTGTGTGAGACATTGTCATGGGCTCTTGGCCTCTAGTTGGGCTCGTTGGGGGCATTGTTATAGGCTCTAGGTCTTCAGCTGAACTCTTGTAGGACATTACCGTGGGATCCAGGCCCTCAGCTGGATTCTTTGGTCTTTAGTGTGTGGACAAATTTCCTGCACTCTTTTTGTATATGATTCTTTGGTTTAATTTTTTTTTGCATCAGGAATGAAACTCAGGACCTTGTGCTTGCAAGGAGGCAGGCACTTGTGCCACTGAGCTATATACCAGGCACTGTATATGATTCTTTGGGTGACTATTATAAAATCTATAAATTATATGTCTTGTATTGTTCCCTTTGCAAAACCCCAAACTACAACAGGGGACAAGGCCCAGAAGGGTTTCCCTGTTGGGAGCAGCTAAGCTAGTGATCTTTCACATGTGTGGAGCTGAAAACCCAAGGAACACCCTGAGAGCATGGAGCACCCCAGGCAAACAGGTGTTCCAGCCCTGAGAACACAGGACATAAGAGGGTCAGAGGCAAGCTAGTTAAGGGGCATCACATGACAAATGTATAAATAAACACACTGGGGTGGTTGAGCAGTTCCTTTCCTCCCACCCAGAGAGAGGGCTCCACTTGACCTAAGCTTTCTCTCTCTTATCTTTATTTTTCCATCCTCTTGCTGTCCTTCCCCCTGGGAACTTTGAGAGCTGTGCTGAATGCACATTTCTCTTTCAATCCCCACACGCTTGATCTCTCTCTACTTCCTGTCTGCCATGCCATGAGCTGTTTCTCCTCTGCAATGCCCCTCTGCCCTTCCTGGGAGCCAGCCAACTGAAATATCTAAAACTGTAAGCCAAAATAAACCTCTCCTTCTTAGAGCTGTGGATGTTGATTTTGTGTCTCAGGCAAGAAGAAAGTAAGACATAAGTGTTTGAAAGCAGTTCTGTACGAAATGCCCCCTAGTCGTAGTGAGAAATTTCTACATGATGCTGGCATCATCACCAGCAAAACTCTTCAAAACCCCCGCTAAGCCAGTTCATACAATTTATCAGGAAAAGTTTATTTGGCTCATGGTTCTGGAAACTGGGAAGTCCAACAGCGTGGTACTGGCATCTGCCCAGCATCTGGTGAGGGCCTTGTGCGTTGTCGTAACATGGCCGAGAGCATCACATGGCAAGAGGGACTAGCAAGCTCACTTTCACAACAGAGCCAGCCCCTGGTAATCCACGAGTCCATGGGTACATGAACCCACTCACGTGAGTTCTGCCATCATCTCCAAAACTCTCACTTTTCAAGTACAACTGGGGATTCAGTCTCCAACACAGGAAATTTGGAGGACACATTTAAACTATAGTCCACCCACACAAAAGGAGGTAGACAGGTAGACAGGACCCAACTAGCATCTCACTCCAAAGCTTCTAGGTTTTTCTGCATACCACAGATACGTAGCCTCATCCATCTTGTTTTCAAGTTTTTAGTATGTCTCAGCTCTGCCATGCTCAGGAGAATCCATTGTTATGCCAACTCCCTAAGGAGTAACTGAAAAAGGTAAAAAGTAGCCCAAGGCTAGAATACTGTATAGGCTTGAGACCCCACAGGGAACCTGAGCAGGTGGGGTGAGACAGAGGGCCAGGGTAAGAGAGGGCAGACTGTGTTTAGGGGAGGTTATTTGTAATAGTTCTCTGCACCCAGGAGCAGAAAGCCCGGATTTTGTGATGACCTCAAGCCCTGCTGCTTAATAGTTACTCAGAATGGGAGCTATGGGAAAAACATGTCCACCAGCCAACTAAATACAGAGTTCCCACAAGTGTCAGGCACTGTGGAGAGCCTTGGTAACATACCGGCTTGAAATTTGCTCGGACCAGAAAAATCAGACTTCTATGAAAGAAAAAGGTGAAGTGTAACTTCCTCTATCTCTGAAACCCTTCAAGTCCTGCTGAAGAGGAAAGGTAACAAATCCCCAGGGAAAGGCCAGAACAGCTTTCATTATATAAATATGCATCCTAACCATCTCTACTTCTCCTTAAGAAAGCATTCTGTAATCTTTAACCTGGAAACTGTTCCAGGCTCTCTCAGTTCCATGCTTGCTAAGTGGCCTGCCTGGAGAACTGGTTACAAGTATTTGTTTTGGTCTGGTCAGGAGTCTTTCATTTGGTGACCGTGTGGATTTGGTAAATCTGCCAATCATGCTGGCTAGAGACCCCTGTGACCGGATATGGATGGTGACAGTGCCCCAGTTCCCAGGCTATGACTGCAGGAGGATTCTGTAGCCTTCACTGAGAGATACACATATTTTTTAATAGGCAGTAGGTCAAAAGGGAAAAACAAAACAAAAAAGCATTTCTTCCCTAGGGGACATTTAACTGTGATGATGTAAGTCTAGAATATTTTTGCCTGCCCTCTCTGAAGACACGAAGACGCCTAGTAAACATTTGCAACAGCAAATACCTCAGCAATGGTGCCTTGATAAGTGCTCAATCTGAGTCCCTCCAGTGCTCGATATGTTTTGTCCCTAGTCATGGTTACAAAAACTTTTTCCAAGGCTGAGCATGGTGGTGCACATCTCAGGAGGCTGAGGCAGGAGGATCATTACAAATTCAAGGCCAACCTGGACTACACAGTGAGACTGTCTCAAAAACGCAAGGTCGTGAGGTTAGTTGTCCGGGAGAAAAACCAAGAGAAAAACCAAAAAAAAAAAAAAAACTTTTTCCAGTTACAATTTATGAATTAAGCTAGAGTTGGACTTGTTTCTTTTTATCTGTGATTTTCATATTAGTGTAAGTGTATGATACATAGTACATTCACTGTGAGGAATTGGTACATATACACACCAGTCAAAATATCAGGTATGGGTTCTTCACTCATGATTTTCTTTGCAGAGTTAATCTGATAAACATTTAAGTTCCTAAAACCTACGAAGCCACTGGGCGACATACAGGTCTCTGCTCTCAAAGACCTCTCAGTCTAATAAGATGAAAAGCTGTACATTCAACCATAACAAATACAGAAATACCATAAAAAATAAAATTAAAAATAAAAAAATTTTTAAATGAACTTGTGATGGCCAGGTGTGGTGGCACACGCCTGTAATCCAGCACTAAGGAGGCTGAGGCAGGAGGATCACCGTGAGTTTGAAGCCAGGCTGGGCTACATAGTGAATTCAAGGCCAGCCTGAACTACATGAGATCCTGTCTCAAAAATAAAAAAAATAAATAAAATAGACTTGTGTTTCACAGTCTGGTATAGGATAATCACTTTATCTTAGCCAAAGGCTGAGAAGCAACAATATAGGGTAATCAAAGGCAATTCTTAATTTGCTTGACTTCGCCTCACCCACACAGGACCACAGTCCTCACTCTGGTCTCTCCTGCCCAGCTTATACTGAAGAGGACATCAGCACTGACAGTGGCACCTGAGTACTAAACCTTTGTTCCCACCCTACCCTACCCAACCTCCGTGTGCAGCCCTCCCAGATTTACCAGTGGGGAAACCACAGCAGCACCCAGAACAGCAACCGGCATAAAACCACCACCAGGGATGAAGGCTGCTGGATCTGGTGTTTCAAACTATCTTTCTACTGTAGGGCAATGCAGGGTACAACTCAAGGCATGAGTTTAACGCCACCTCCCCACTGCCTCCAAGGTCACCAGTGAGAGGGAAATCTTTCCGCAGAGCTTTACGTCCAGCCCTCACCACCTCCAAAGAGAAACCATTTAACCCATGGCTCCAGATGGACCAACCAAATGAAAGTGCTACAAATTCAAAGGTAGCAACAGCACGTTACTAACAAGTTTCCGTGCACTTTTAAGCATCTCGGCCAGTAGCACAGCCGCCTTTGGTAAGTGCTGCAAACTGCCATCTCCTTTAACTCAGAGACATCCACTCCATTAAAGATTCGATCCCTTTGCCAAGGCCCTTTCCCTTTCATAGATCGGCCCATGATAAAGAACAAAAACACAGATATCATGTTGTGATCTTTATTCCATTAAATGATCTTACAAGTGAAACAGAAACATGCTTTTAATATACTAATAGCATAATCTCATCCTGCTGCATTTTTTAAAAACTACATTAAAATTTAAAGCTATTCAAAGACAACGGTATAGCAGAAAGTACTTTTAACTATTTTTTTTATTATTAAGAAAACTGAAAGAAAACCCAGGAAAATGTCTATTTGTTTAAGATTTAACTCCTTTAAGGTTTCTATAATGTCAGCTTTTATTCATCTGTTAGAAAGCTTTGGGAATCCGTGCAACCTCCCCTTGGTTTTTTTGTTGTTTTGGTACCGGGAATCAGACTCAGGACCTCGCGCTTGCCAGGCAGGCGTTGTGCCACTGAGCTATATCCCCAGCCCTCCTCTTGGTTGTAAAAGCACTATTTAGCTCTGGCACATGAAATTCCTTCCCAAATAAAAATTTCCTTGAAAAGTTCCTGCTATCGGGTACACACATCACTAATTATCCAAGTTATAGTCCTGTTCTTTCTTTGTGTTCACTGTATTTGTGGCTTAAGGTTTTCTCTGTGGGGAAGATTTAGGGATTGAAGTCACAGTACTGAATTTGGCTTCTTAAAAGAAAAACTATCAAAGCTGCTTTTCCTTAAAATCCTAATTACATCTGCTAGTAAAAAGGATACCTGCTACATTCTTTTTCTCCAGAAGGACCTATGGTAACTGCGTAGAATAGCCTTCAGGAGCTTAGACAACCCTCCAGATCAAAGGCACCCTTATTACTCGGAACATGGTAAACTGGTGGTGGTCTCACCGAGCAGTAGACCGCCCATCCTGAACCTCAGGTAAAAGCCATCCACTTGCCTCAGACAATACTGAATGGTACTTGCCCACTGTTAACTCCCACTTCATGGAGTAGCTGCCCCTCTGCTGTCTCTGAATCACCTACAATGTTTATAAAAGTGAGGATTTCAGGGCCACAGCCCTGAGGCAAGCTCCAGGAATCTGTATTTTTAAACAAACCTCCTAGATAAGTCTAATGTACCCCAAGGTAAATGAAAATCACTGCCCCAAATTTAAGTGCAGTATGACCTATCATGATGACAACTATTCAGTTGCAAATCTTTTATAATGACATTTTTAAAAGATAACCACAGTTTGTACTTCCACAACTGAACTTTGTATTTCCTAGCCAGAATAAAATTTTATTGGATCAAATATAAACTATAATAATGCAGTCAAAGTTGGCTACTTTCAAAGAAAACATCAAATCATCCAAAATTATATTTCAATACTTCTAAAGAAACAAACACAACAGCCAGGGTTAGTGATACACTCCTGTAATACCAGCTCTTGGCAGGGTGAGGCAGGAGGACGGCCACAAGTTTGAGGCCAGCCTGGGCTACATAGTGAAGCCCTGTCAAAAAAAAAAAAAAGAAAGAAAAAAGAAAACAAAAGTAGTTCCATGTGACTTCTACATAAATTCCATCATTTTTCTTACTAAAGCCTAGGAACAATCAAATTGCTTTATTGCCTTTGCCAGGGTTAAAATCAACCTAATTTCTCTATAGTTCATATTTACATACTTATCTAAATTTACCCTACCTTAGGCACCAAGTTTATAAGCCGTGTAGAACACTGTGTGTGACCTGCTGAAGAAACTGACTGTAAGCACAAGGCAGTATTTTTATTCATTTGCCCAAAGAAAGAAAAAAAAGAGAACAGGAATAAACAAAACAGAAACAATATTCATAGGCATTTTACCAAGTATAAAGGTGTCAAAACATAACCCTCCATGGGCCAGGCATGATGGTGTATGGCTGTGATCCCAGCACTCAGGAGGCTGAGATAGGGGATTGCCATGAGTTCAAGGACACCCCGAGCTACACAGTGTTACCCTGTTTAAAAAAAAAGACCCTAAAAATGTTTTATCATCATATATGATAGTTTGTCCTCACCATCTATAAACCTAATCTAGAAAGATTTCTCATGGAAAAAATGAAAACTGATTTTATTATTTGGGCTATAAGAAACAAATTGGAAGTACTTTTTAAAAAAATTTGGCAACATTTAACTTCTTTTTTTTTTTGTCTTTTTGAGAAAGTTTCACTATGCAGTTCCGGCTGGCCTTAAACTCACTTTGTAGCCAAGGCTGGCCTCAAACTTGCAGTGATCCTCCTGCCTCAGCCTCCTGAGGGCTGAGATTACATGTGTGCACCACCATGTCCAGCTAACTTTTCTTAAGAAGTTGTTTTACTGGAAAAATTTTTAAATCTCCAGTTATGTTAATAGAAATGTGTTCTCCATATTGCTAGGACTGTGCAAATTAACAATGTGTGCATGGAAGGTCTCTCACAAGTGCCTAAGCAGCAATATTTGCAGTCTGATTCCTACACAGTGTCCCTGACCCACAAAGAAAAAGCTGGAGAAGGTAACAGGCAAAAACATTCTTCACAACCTGGGAATAAATCTCCCCAGGACTATTTACAGCCAGCAATGAGAAGGCATTTTTCATTGGAAAAGTTGGTATAAAATCATCTGTCTACTGATAAAACAGAAAAGAGGCCTGAGAACTTTATAAACACTTTCCAGAGGCAGAATAAGTCATAAAGACAAAAAGGGGTATACTTCCCTGGAGTCCTTAAACCAAGGTGATCCCTTTACAGGACAAGAACGGAAGTGTTCGATTTAAACATTTACACCACCCTAAGACTACTAAATCATAAATTCACTTTCTTTAAAGATGTAACACTTTAGTCTTAGGATGAAATTTAGTTGCATTATCTATTCTCACGGAACTATTTTAGATAATTACTCTGAAAGCCATAAATTTACTTACAAAATGGCTTCAAAACTAAGTAGCTCAGTATCTGTGTGGGCTGCCAGTAAGAAGGAACCTTCACAGAGAGAAGCCACCTGAAAAGGCACCAACATTACAGAAGCAAGCTTCAGTTCATTAGTTCAAAGCCTGGCTTCACTCATAAGCAAGTGAACAGTTTCTTAGAATAAGCTAGACTTCTTCTAAAATGCAACAAAAAGTGAATGAAATATCAGGCACTTTAGGGAGATAAATAGGAAAATATATAAAATGCTTACAATTAATTCAAGACTTACAAAACACTTGAATGGTATAGTGTTAGTAAAAAAAAATTCTCTGAGAAAGAGATTAAATGCTAGAAGAGACTTTCTTTTTTCTACCCTCCATTCAAACTTCATGTATATGAAATTCATACACAGACTTTGCTTAAGCCTTCCTATCTCTTTCCCACAACAAAACTCAAATTATTTCAAAATAAAAACACACAAATACCTGAATATTTATATAAATATTTGCAGGCAAATTTTAAGAAGTTTTAAAATTCATAGTAATTCATTATAAATCAAAGGAAAAAGCAACAGATAAAACTTTTTAATCATATAATCATAATAAATTTTTTCAAGAAGAATTGTAGATACTTCTAGATATTGTCTACATTTGGGTAAGACACTGGTCCTTCCTAAACCAAAGTTGTTTTAAAGCTACCAGACTGGTAAGAAGTAAATTTTAAGGAAGAACCATTAAATAAACAATTTTAGTTTCATTAAGAACATCAGTGCATAGAGAATAAAAATAAAGTTTGAGCAGGGACCTTAAATGGGCGGTCACTAATTAGTGGTAAGCCAAATGAAATAGAGGATTAATTAAAGGCAGTAATATCTGGTAATGTCTTTTCTCTAACCCTTGGTAAAGTATTATACCTACACAGAACTCTAAAAGCAAAACTTATCAAATGGCAAATTTTAAGAGCTGTGTGTAACACATAAACACAGAAAACCACAGTGGCTCTGACCAAGGCACAAGTTCAAGTGACTTATTGGAGGTCACAGGTTCACTCAAAATCAGCTTCTTCTTTAAAATAAGTCACTCCTTCCATTATGAGCCACTGTGGCTTTTCAAGGCGTATTTGCCTCTTTTCTGAAAAGAAGCTACAGTAACCAAAAAAGACAGAGAGATCAGGTTCAATAAAACTGCCAGCCTATCAGGGAAAAGACCTTACATTCCAGAGTACGGTACATTAACACATTTGATTTCCCCACATTATATGACAAACAGAATACCAACATTACAAGTAAGATCTTGAAAGTATAATGGCATTGTTTCAGTTAATCTTTAGTTCTGAAGTTTTTCCAAGTTTTGTAAACTTTTTAGAAAGGAATTCTTCTCAAAAGGAAAGTGTAAGAGAACTGACAAGTTTCACTTCTAAACAGCATATTTCCCAAGGTTATTCTCCGTCCCTTCCCTTCAGGTCCATAACAAGCATAGATTTCATCTGAAAAGGCACTAAGTGGTACATAAGAGACTTAAAACCTGCATTTCCATTTTTTTCCTTTAGCTTTTTCTCCCATAAAGTGCACAAAGCAGAGAGTAACAGGAAACAAACCTACGTTCGGATCTGACAGCAAAGAAAAGCAATGCTTCCAACAGAAAATGGAAGCACATTTAAGAATTTGAAGCCACAGGAGAGGTCAGTTTATTTATTACAGTGTCCTGTCGCAGCTCTCCCTGGATAGTCTCAGGCCTGCCGTTCCTCTAGACCTGGACCTGTGGCCTTGGCAGAAACTGAGGTTCTAGGGGCTGCTCGGGCTCTTCCTGGATCCTCGTGGTAAGGCTACTGAGTTTTTTTATCCACAGGAGATCGCCCAACAACTGCATCTCTCACAGCAGCCTGAGTAGAATTGCCAATGTGAGAAGAAGCCTGCAAAAGTCCATTTATTCAACATGTAAGTTAATAACATACAATACATGACCAAAAGAGTAAGTCCCTACAGATAAACTCTCAAATACAGTATCTGTCTCCACCACAGGTGTCTTACAGAAAGCAAGAGGATAAGAACAGAGGGTAAGGGAAGGCTGGGGCAACAGCTAACTGGAACATAAACTCAGTCACCAGGGGCGAGGGAGGAAGCTCCCTTGGCTTCACAGAATACTGACCTAACTGGTGTGTTCATGTTACTCAGAAAAAGAAATAAACCAGTATCAAAGATCTGTAAATCTAAAGATCACGTCAATGCAACAGGCACTGGCTTTTTGGAAGATTTTAAATGAAGGAGGGGCTGGGGATTTAGCTCAGCGGCAAAGCGCCTGCCTGGCAAGCACAAGGTCGTGAGTTCGGTTCCCGGTACCAGAGAAAAAAAATAAAATAAAATAAATGAAGGAGATGCCACCCATTTTCTAATCCAGTAAGATTCCAAGTAGACCATTTTATAAACTACACGTTTTTTCCAAAGCTCTTGATTTTTCAGTGAAACAAATTAATCCGGGAGTAGGGAGGGAAATCACACAGGAACTGTGCCTGAAAAGCACATAAAGTTTCCCGGGAGGAAAACTGAATATTCTTGCCTGAGCTAGAATGTTTTGCATTAAAGGGCCATTTTTAGGAATAGAGAAAATATTAGGAAGAAATACTAATATCCTGAAGAAGAAAATGTAAAGCCCACCAGAAAAAAAATGAACAAGTTTCTCATGCCTTCTTTTGCAATGAGATTCTTCCAAACTGATGAGCTGTATTTAGCAACAAAGCACAATCACCTGTCTATCATCAACCCTCAGCCTGCCCTCAGCCAGCACCACTTACCTGCTCTAACACATATGCTGCACCAGAGTCAATAGCTCCACCCAGCTCGCGATATTGACCGGAATACCTGATGTACCCCCAAGTGAGGAGCGCTATTAACAGCAATCCAACCATGCAGTTAAACAGCTGGGCCACAACCTCAAGACCAACAAAGCCAGTGACGCCAGAGGCTATATATAAAGCCACAATGCCTGTGAACAGCACCGCAGGGGTTCGGAAGGTGCTGAAGACGTTCTTGCTTCCATTGTGCTTGCAAAAGTTTTCATAGAGTTCCTTAATTTCCTCCTCCAGCTCTTGCTGATAACGAAAACTGAAATCCTTCCCACCCATCTTCTTGGTCTTCTTAAACTGGTCCAGAGCCAGCTGTCTGAATTCACAATGCTTCTGCTCTAAAATGTCTGGAGACAAATAAGGCTTCTCTCCCCCACAAACCTAGGAAGAACAAACATATGCTAGGATGAAAATCTCTTCAAGAGCAAGTACCAAATAAAACAAGTGAAAAGACACAGAGAAGGTTTTAAAATATTAGGAGCTAACTTTAGAAAGACAGCCAAAGCCAATAAAGGCTAGATTCATTTCCTCTGATCAGTACACTTAAATAACCAGAGTAATATTAATCTGAAACAGCAGTGACACTGTAAGGAAGCCTTGGTTAGAAATGGTAATAATTACAAGACCCCAACTGCCAGGACGACCTGAAACAGCTTTGCTGCATCATCATCTGAAGATACATTAGTGAGGATCAAGTTTGGAGTTCTGATATCGGCAACAATGCTCAGGGTATAGACAGTTCAGAAAAAAGCATATGGCCACCTACCTCTTCCATGTTGTTGTAATAAACATCCTTGGCAGAGGCTGCAGCTGCTAAATTGTTGGCTTCAGCAGTGGCCTTTTAAGAAAGTGAAGTATCAACTATAAATTCTCCTCTTTTACTATTCTTCTACAAATAACCAAGTAAAAAATATTCTCTTACCCCAATCCTCATTGTCCCTTTTTTATTAGCCTTCTGCTATTTTGTAGGTTTCCTTATAGTTCAAATAATGAAATAAAATACCTTTTTTCTTCCAAATTTTCTACCTTAAATGTACCTATTCTTAGACCTAAGAATTTTTAGCACAAATAATATCCTCAAAAAATCAAGGGCTATATAATTTTCTTTCCCTTAATTTTAAATGTAAGAAAATGATAGATGGTATGGGCTATGGTAGACAATTTGCCTAACACATTCAAGGCACTGGGTTCCATCCCTCAACACAAAAGTATTTTTTTGTTTTTTAAAAATAATAAAATTATTGAAACCAGGTGTGCCAATGCTTGTAATCCCATAACTGGGGAAGGTAAGGCAGGAAAATCACAAGTTCACGGCCACCTTGGGCTACACAGTGAGTCAGAGGCCAGCCTGGACTATATGAGGTCCTGTCTCAAATCAAACAAAATATTGCAATACAGTAAAACCTTGGATTACAGGTAACTTGTTCTGTGTCAGAGTCTGCAAGGGTTGAACAAGACAAGAAAATGTTTCTAATAAATATTAACTTGATAAACAAGCGATGTCTTGCCATACGAGTAGCACGTGACACGGGCACCACATGATCACAACTGAGTGTATGGTTCTTCCCTCCTCCTTCCTCTCCTCTGTCTCTCTCTCTTCCTCTCTCCCTCTCTCTCTCTCTCTCTCTCTCTTCCTCTCTCCCTCTTTCCCTCCCCACCCATCTGGGATCGTGGGTGATCATCTCTCAATAGCAAGAATTATGGAGATCTCATCTGCAGAAGAGAAGAAAAAGCCAGAGGAATCCCTCACTTCAAATGAGATCAGAAAGATGTGTAAAATGTGGGAAAGAATGCAAAATTTTACAGAAAAGCACCACTTGAATAAGGCTGTAGCAATGTAAGTGATGAATCTGTTTGATGAGAATGCACTGTCACATTTCCACAAAATTCTCAAAACGAGGCAAAATCAAATGTCAGTGGATTTACCTTGTTAAAAGTTGCACAAAAAGAAAAAGGTTCCATTGAGCCAAGAGATAGCAGTGATTCCATTAGCGATAGTGAAAGTTGTCCCACACAATAACCCTCTCCTTGTCCCCCTCACACCAGCCACCAAGGTTTGCAAAGGTAAGTGCAGGTTAATCTGTTTTACTTTTTATTTTGTATTTTCTTTATTAGTTTGTATTATATTATAGTATTGCAGTCATTTGTATATGCATATTTTTTTGGTTGTGGAATGAATCATCTGAGTTTCCATTATTTCTCATGGGGAAATTCACTTTGATACAAGTGCTTTGGATTACAAACATGTTTCCAGAACAAATTATGATTGCAAACCAAGTATTTACTATAGATGCAAAGAAAAATTATCTTTATAAATGTAAATCCCAGGATCTAGCTACCTTTGTGAAAATGTTTTGCTATTAAAGATATCAATATTTGAGGCCAGGCGCTGGGATACACCTCTAATTTTGCTCCTCAGAAGGCTGAGGCAGGAGAATCACGAGTTTGAGGCCAGCCTGAGCAACTTAACAAGACCTTGTCTCAAGATAAAGTATCTAGGAAAAAGCTCAGAGATGAGCCTACCAAGTAGACACCATGAGCAAAGCTTATTCTCTCACGTTAAAGAAATTTACGGACAAGAAATCATCACTGAAATTAAATAGTATCAGATATATTCAAAAGGAATATTGTGGGGATCTGATCCCTTTATGAATCCTGTAATAGATGAATGTGTACAGATGACAACTAGTGGCCAACTGAACAATACTGGACTGGTAATACAAGGAAACAGTATAATCATTTTGGAAGCCTTGGGATGAGTTAAATAATGGCTGTTTGGTACAGAAATCAATGTACCCTTTCCAAAGGCCAATTCCACTATGACTGAAAGTGACGCATGTACATTTTCACATTAAACTGTTCTAGTTTTTTCCTTTGGTTCTATGAGACAGGGTTTTGCATGTAGTTCACGCTGGCCTTGACCTATGTGACCCAGGCTGGCCTCGAACTTGCAGCAATCCTCCTGCTTCAGCCTCCCAAGTGCTGTGATTATAGCCATTTACCACCATGCCTGGCTTAAACTGTTTTGCTAAATAAACTTTTGTAATATTCAAAAGGGGGCCTTGGGATGTAGCTCAGTGTCACAGCACCCCATGGTTCTATACCTACTACTGCAGAAAAGAGAAAAATACAAATCATATTTGGCAGAAATGCTCTTTTGTTCAGCATACAAAAGTCAGAAATTATGTCTTAAGCAAATGACATTTTCCAGCTGAAAGTAAAAAACAAAAATCCTAACTAGGTCACTTGGGACCTGTTCTACTAAAGCAACTAGAGATGACTAGGAGTTCCTTATTTAACATAGTGGCTACACTTCCCCAGGGTATAATAAAACACCATCTCCCAAAATATGTCTGGCGCGAAGCACAGGCTCAGCGAGGAAAGGCCGTTCTTCCATAACCGCACCACTGTGAATACAGACGAGAAAACCAGAAGGCAGCCACACTGAGATAAATGTGCTGAAACTCCGGAGACCTCCAAATAATAGGAAAGAGCAGTCTCATTCCGGCCTTTTTTTTTTCTTGAGTCCAGGTCTCGCTATATATTTCAGACTGGTCTTAAACTCACTATGTAGCCCAGGCTGGAACTCGGTGATCCTCCAGCCTTCCGTGTACTGGGATAACGCTCATTCTCTTCTTACAAGACTCTGTTTTATTCTTACAAGACCCTGTGTTATCATATCTGCATCAAATCAAGCAATTAAAGGATGTCATTTAGGATATCAAAGTGTTAATTTACCTGAAGCATGGATTTGGGGTGAGGCAGATCTTCTCCTTGATAAATTTTAATATATGCCTTAGAATATAAACAGAAATGATTATGAGAAATGCCATTCTGTCATAGTTAACTCACACTTTAACTTTTGGAAACCATACAACCACATTTTCCTAAAGACCTATATCAATAACTAGGAATTAGCAAAAACACAACACACCTTTGAGTGCATGTTAGCATTTTTAGTTATCTAAAAATGTCAAGCAGCACAAGCCTACAAAGGCGAGGGTTCCCGACAGACTCCCCATGCACACTGGCCTCACCACGACCTGTGGGCAGAGACTATCCACCTGGAGGCAGTCGTGTCCCATCTAGGTGCCGTCTCCTACTCACAGCAACTTCCTAACCATCTCCTGTCCACACCATCTTCCTTGAGGAACAATCTTCCTTTAGCCACAGTACTCACTCCTCGAAGAGAGTGAAAGAATATCCATTTGGCTCTTAGACCCATACTGCCATCCAGTGGCCCACCCTGGGAGGACACTGAGGTCTCAAAATACCTCTCAGAAAATGTATTAAGTTTTAGAAAAACTGAAATTCAGGAGAGTTTAAAGGCTAGATCAGCTTTATCAAAAATCTAACAATTTAAGTATTAAAACTCGTATTTACCTTAAAATACTCCAATAGTCCCCGGCAGGTGACCTTTGAGCCATTGATCTCCTTTTCCATTAACTTAGATGGGTTTAATACGTATGGTATCAGGGCCTCCAACTGCTCTTTGAAATCACCAGCAATATCTGCTCAAAGGACCATGAAGCAAGAAACAAGAAGCTGAACAGCCTTATCCAACCAAGTAAGCATAAAACACAACCTTCACAGTCTATCCAATTATTTCAACTTTGTTATTACACAACAGGGAAAGGTGCTCCCACACTAGTATGTTTGACACTTTCTGGCTATGACTGGGTTGCTGATAGATCTTTGTCCTAATGCACCTTTATCTATCTGCTTCCCTCTTGATATATAAAGCTGGGTTCAGAATGTGCAAGATATCCTTACCTTGGCTTCCATTCTGAGATATTCAGTCTACTGCTGAGCCTTTCAAGAAATCCTACTTTTTAAAAAATGTCATTAAGAGTGAAGGGTGAGGAGGAGGGGAAGGAGAAATAAGTAGAATAAAAATATGCCATGTATAAGCACCTAATAACCTATGTAATATTACACATGCCATAACATGAGCTAAGATTAATAACATCAACAATGAAAATTAAGACAGGAGAATTAGAGAAGGAGCAGGGAGGGAAGGAGAAGAGGAAAAAAAGAAAGAAAGAAACAAGCTGTAGTATGTACAGGTAGGACCAGGGAGATAGCTCAGTGGCACAGAGCCTGCCTGGCAAGCACAAGGTCCTGAGTTCAATTCTTGGTACAAAAAAAAAAAAAAAATGCACAGGTAACCACTCCCCCAAGATGACTGTAAACTGCATGTACTGCAAACATGTACTAATAAAATTTAAAAGGGAAAAAAAAAACCCCAAAAACAAAACTCAAGGTGTCTCAGGCTTTTGCCACGCTCTCACATTACCCCTTAAAAAAAATCAGGTAGAGCCAGACGTAGTGATACATCTTACCCCAGCTACTTGGAAGGCTGAGGCAGGAGGATTTCAAATTTGAGGCTAGCCTTGGCAACTTAGAGAGGCCTGTCTCAAAATTTTAAAAAAGGGCTGAAGGTATAACTCAGTGATAGACTTTGGTTTAATTCCTAGTACCAACAAACAAAAAACTGGAAAACATTATTCATTCATTTGCTGTAGTTTTGTTAATATTTTAATGTTAAAAGAAGCACCTGTACATCATGCTATTTATTTCCCAGTATTCCCTCAGAGGCCCTGTGGACCACCTCAAGATGAAAAGATCACTATATGTCAGGAAGGAGACAGATTCTTTGCAGGTTCTATAAGGTTCCACGCAGAGTTCAGAAGAGCCACCAAATAGAGCTCTTTTCCCAAAGTGAGAATTAGCTGATCCAACTACGAAAATGCAGAATTAAAATACAAGGCATTTGATGTCTATAGTCTTCTAACACCTTCCTGAATTCACAATTATCAACTGAAAATAGAGTGGGCTAGCGCCCATGTCAAGGTAAGATGAATCTATAAAATTTAAGAAGAATTTACAAAATTTAAAATGAATCTATAAAATTTCAAGAAAAAAGGAGAACAAATTCTTTATAATCTTGTCCTGAAAAAGTATAAAGTGCTATACATAATATATTCTTCAATGTAAATTCGGATTTGTTTGCATATATTAAAGTAACTCTGGGGCCAGGGATGTAGCCAGCAGCACAGTGCCTGCCTGGCAAGCTCAAGGCCCTGAGTTAAGATTCCTGATACCAAAAATGGAACGAACAAACGAACAAAGGAACGAAAGAAGGAAGGAAGGAAAGAAGGAAAGAAAGAAAGAAACTCTGAAAGCTTATATAAGGAGACTTTGCACCAAATGTTTTCTAATCCTTTTGAATTTAAAAAAAAAGGAATGTATCATTTATTAAAAACTTTTTTATACTTCCAACTTTCATCACACTAAAAGACCGTATTTCAAAAAAATATACACAGAACTAGCAGGATGCAGTTACTGTACATTCCTATCTTACCGAGATTCCCAGATGTTCAGCTGTTCATGTTTCTAGGAAGGCTATTCTATTTTAAATCAGAACAGACAAGAACTATCTCATGACAGAGACAAACTTAGTCTCTCATAATTTCAAAGAAGACTGGGTACTACATACCCTTCTGTTTAATTTCTAGCTAAACAAATAAGTAGTTACTGTATTGGTCTCCCTGCTATAGTAAATAGAAGACAGTTCTCTTTATGCTGATGACACAGTAACCCTGTGTGTCAAGAAGCAGCAACTCCTGTTAATAACTACAGGTGGCAGCAGCTCACTGTTCACTGCACAACAATTAAGATCATGTTGAGGAAGTGTGTACCTCTAAATAGGTGGTCCATCTTTAAGAAAAAAATAAAATAGCTGGGCGTGGTGGTGTACAACTGTAATCCAAGCACTTAGGGGGCTGAGTAACATAGTGAGCTCAAGACCAACCTGTACTACATAGTGAGGTCCTATCTCCAAAAAAAAAAAAAAAAGAATAAATAAAGCAACACTCTTAAAAGGATTCCTAAAGTATTTGGGGGAACATTTGCTGAAATAGCCTCAGAATATAGAGCTTATTAAATTTAAATGCTCTACAAAAACTACACTAAAGTTCTTTTACGGATTTCCTCTAACCACTTTTTTGGAGGGGTCTTTTTGAGACAGGGTCTCACTATGCAGTTCAGGCTGGCCTTGAGCTCACTTTGTAGTCCAGGCTGGTCTCGAACTCTCAACGATCCTCCTGCCTCAGCCTCCCGAGAGCTGGGATTACAGGCGTGCGCTACCATGCCCAGCTCAAGATATTATCTTTTCTAAATTATATGGGGGACAAGATTTAAGAATCTCAATCAAGTAAATTTACAAGTATATACTTGAGAAAGACATCTAGGTTTTCTAGCTCTGAGAACTACATTAGCTCTATCTACACGTCTCTCATAATAAAATCTGTGTTGTTTTCAAACTAGCCCTGACCAAATAGTGCCAAGTTACCTGCTATCTGCATTTTAGTATCTACTTTTCACACAAAATCTTTCAATATGGTTAAAAGGTTCCCTAAAATTACAAAATATCAGCCAGGTATGGTGGGCCACACCTCTAATTCCACCATCACAAGTTCTGGCTCAGCCTGGACAATTTAGTGATTTAGCAAGAACCTGTCCCAAAATAAAAAAATAAAAAAGGAGAAGGCCCAGTAGTGCCAAAAGAAAAAAGAAAGAAATTACAAAATATCCATCTCCAAGTCTATAGTAACCCAACTCAGGGGATTCTCTCCTTATATAAACATCACAAGGTATATACAAACACAAACCTAGATGGGACAGCCCACTACACACCTAAGCCATACAATAATCTTACCAAACAATCCTGTGTGCAGCCCATGGCCAAATGAAATGCTGCTATGTGGCATATGGCTACAGATAAACCTCTGCACAGCTAATAAGATTTTGTCACTAACAATCCTCAAAATAACCTTAAATAAATGCACAAGGCACACTTTTAACGTATTGTTTAAGTGACACAAAAAAGGCTATTTTTCACTTTCAAATTTTCCCATTTAAAAAATATGAGGTGAGATCACACACACACACACACACACACACACACACACACACACGTTTAAATTTTAAAGATTTACTACAGTAAAAAAACATTTTGTCATTAGTCCTTCTCAAGGTACTCCCCTGGCTGCAAACACTCTTAGCCCATTGTTCTTGCCATTTTCTGAAGCAGTTCTGGAAGCCCTTTTTTATGTCCGCATGAGGGGTGATCAAAATACAGATAATGCTGTTGCTTTGTGTAATTCAGTGAAAAGGCAGACTCACAAATCCAGGGTGTTCTTGCCAGGCATAGTGGTGCACACCTGTAGTCCTACCACTTGGGAGGCTGTGTTAGAGGATCATGATGAGTTCAAAGGCTGCCTGGGATACATAGTGAGTTCAAGACAAGCCTGAACTACATAGCGAGAGCCTGCCTCAAAAAGCAGGGCATCATCAACCACCTTATTCACCAGAACTGGTGGCACTGTGTGACTTCTGGCTCTTCCTCAAAGTCATTTTGACCATGAGAGGTAAACAGTTTTAATTGATTCAGGACATCAAAGCAGAGAAAAGCACAACTAAAGACATGAAAGAGGACTTCCAGAACTGCTTCAGAAAGTGGCAAGAACAATGAGTTTAAGTGTGGTCAAAGAAAGAGGGCATACTCCTGTGTTTTTCTTGAGATGGGGTCATGTTATGTAGTTCACGCTGGCTTTGAGCTCAGAGCAATCCTCCTGCCACAGCCTCCCAAATTCTAAGATTACAGGTATGTGCTACCACACCTGGCAGAAGGGAGTATTCTGAGAGGTATTAATGACAATGTCTTTGACTGCAATAATTTTTTTAAAGCTAAACATTCACAGTACTTTTCAATCACACCGTGTGCATGTGATATTGATTTATTTTACACACTATATATTTTTTTCTTTTTCTTTTTAAAGGTAAGTCTCAATTATGTTGTCCAGGCCAACCTTAAAATTCCTATTCTTCAGCCTCAGCCTCCCAAGTAGCTGGGTTTACAGGCACACACGCATAAATATATGCGTGTATGCATGTGTGTGTGTGTATACACATATATATGTTTAAACCAAGGAAATTGTACCACAGATGCCACTCTGAAATATTTTTATATTTAATAATTTACCGATATTTATGTAAAAACATATAGACCCAACCATCTACTTTTATCCTTTTTTAATGACTGTTTTATTCCTTTGTGTAAACATACTATAATTTAACTAATTCTTTTTTAAACTTTTTTGTAACTAATTTTTAACTAATTCTTCAGAAACACGCATTTGAGCTTTTTCCAATTATTCCCTATTTTTACATAATATATATAGTGTTTGCTTGGTTTTTTGAAACAGGGTCTTGTTATATAGCCCAGGCTGGCCTTGAACTCACAATCCTCCTCAGCCTCTCAAGGCTGAGCCTCTCAAGCACTGGGATTCCAGGCATATGCCACTACACCCAGTTTTATTCTTGTCTAAAATACTAGATCAAAGAATGTAAACATCTTAAAATTTGACACTGGTACATTAGTATTATGGACTATAACTTATGCCAATGTATTTTTATTATTGTGATACTGCACATACAACACTATTTATAGGTAAGAGGGATTGTTTTGCTTTCGGAGTTGTTTGTTATGATGTTGAGGATTAAACCCAGGGTGCTGGACAAGAGCTGTACCAGTGAGCTATATTTTCAGCCCTGTATTATTTTTTGGACTTGCTTTTTCACATAAGTAAGCCTTAACACATTTCTGCCTGCTTAAACCACAAGAGATACATGTATGACTACCCTATCAGAGATAATCACTTTTATCAGTCTTTTTACTAATAAAATAAAAAGCCACCTGATGGGCCAATCATGCATGTATCATTGATGACTAAAGCCATGTGGAAGCAAGATATACAGGAAGCCCTGCCATTAACATGTTAAACTCTACAAATAAATGGAGCATGGTGGCACAAACCTGTAAACCCAACACTCTGGGAGTCTAAAGTGGGAGGATTGAAAGTGCAAGCATACCCTCAGCAACTTACCCAGACCTTGTCTCAAAATTTTTTTAAGAATTCATTTAAGGGGCTGGGGATTTAGCTCAGCGGCAAAAGCGCCTGCCTGGCAAGCGCAAGGTCGTGAGGTCGGTTCCCGGTACCGGAGAAAAACCAAAAAAAAAAAAAAAAAAAAAAAAAAAAAAAGAATTCATTTAAAAGGGTTAGGACTGCCAAGCGTGGTAGCACACCCCTATAATCCCAGCACTCAGGAGGCTGAGACAAGAGGATTGACATTATTTCGAGGCCAGCCTAGGCTACATAGTGAGTTCAAGGCCCACCTTGACTACATAGTGAGACCCTGTCTGCAAAAAAACCAAAAAATAAAAAAAATTTAAAAACAAATAAAAGGGCTAGGATTGGGCGTAGTGACACACCCCTATAATCTCAGCACTTGGGAGGTTTGGGAGTCGAGGCAGGAGGATCACAAGTTCAAGGCCAGCCTGGGCTACATAATGAGTTCAAGGACAGCCCCGAACTACATAGTAAGACCCTCAAAAAAACAAAAACAAACGAAAAGGTGGGGAGAGGTAGACTGTAGCTCAGTTAAAGGCCATGGAGTCAACCCCTACTGCAGTACTGGAAAGAGAAAGAAAAACCTATAAATATATTTTATAATTTTAACTTGATAAAGGAACCAAATTGTACATAATCGTGAAATTAAAGATTGCTTATATACAGAATTTATGTACTATTTTATAAATGTAATAAAAATTACACACCTAACATTTAGTGATTAATCCATTCATAATCTACATTATGCACAGTAGATGAAACAGTACCTATCTCCCCAAAATGCATGTCCATCTGGAATCTCAGAATGTAACCTTTTTGGAAACAGTCCCTGCAAATTTAATTAGCTAAAATAAGATCATATTGGATTGGAATGGCCCTTATCTGACAGGAAAAAGACAAAACAGAAAAGACAGTCCCATTTGCTAACTAAGAGACTAGTGACTAAGAGACTAGAGATACATAACCAAGGCCAATGAATGCCAAGGATTCTAACAACTACCAGAAACTAGGAGACAAGTCATAAGACAGGTTCTCCATTCAAAGGGAACAAACTAATACTTCAAACTTCTGGTATCCTGCACTGTGAGGGAATAAACTTCTGTTGTCTTAAGCCACCAAGCTTGTGGTAATTGTTAAAAAGACAGCCACAGGAAATTAATATAATATGCATCCTCAAAAGTAGTACAAAAAAAAACACAAACAAACAAACAAAAAAAAAGTAGTACAAAATTCTCAAAAGTCAGGGTTACAGAACTTTTTAAAAAAATGCCTGTTTCCTGAATAAAATGATAAAATGAAACTGAAATTTCAAATTTGAAATGCTAAAATACATCTATGGCCGTACTACCCTGGCCCAATCTCATCTGAAATGTTGAAATGCTTGAAAATACAGAAGAAAAAAAAATATGGAAGAATATAATTTTTTGTCTATTTATATGTGAAACCCTGAGACCACCATGAGGCAAAGAGGGCATGACAAGTCACTCTTAACCTATCATCTCCTAAGCTTCCCTTACGGATTTCCCTATCACTGATGAAAAAAAACCAGTTTATGTTGGGTAGAAGTATGGCTAATAATGAAGCATTATGACTCCAAAGAGTACATTATCTACACACACACTCATGTAAATATACACTCAACTCTCTCTTCCTATTTAGCTCTGAAAATCTCCTCACAAGAACAGCGTGTTTGCTAATCAGGATTTCTCTCCCAAAGCCAAGGCCCACTTTGGGATGTTTTAATTGCTGTAACAGGCTCTCGAAGTTTCTTCCTCAGGAAAGCTGTCAACCACTTAAAAATATCAAACAGTTGGGCATGGTGACACAGACCTGTAATCCCAGCACTCAGGAAGCTGAGGCAGGAGGATCACTGAAAATTTGAGGCCAGCCTAAACTACAAATGGAGACCATGTCTCAAAACACCAAAAAAAAAAAAAAAAAAGTGACAAAGAGAAGATAAAGGTTAAGTCTCTCAAACTCGGTTTCTTTTGCAATGCTATGACCAGCTGGAATATAAATCTTGAGTTGGATAAGTACATTAATTTTCTTGGGTCAACTAAATCATATAAAATGGAAGTGATATACTGTATTTTATATTTGAAGCTATGAAAACTTCTATTCCCAAAGCCAAGTTCCTCTGGTAACTAAACAGTATATAACCTTTAAGACTTCCTCCAAACAACAAAGAACTTCTATTTTAGCACAGACTAACTCAGGGGCACCAATACCTGGATGTGAACCTCTGCCCCATCACTTCTAGCTGACACTTTGTGTGAATTACTTTTCTTCATTTTTGCCCATTTCCTCATCTGTAAGAGGAAACGATAGCAACTTCGTAGAATTGCTGGAAAACTTGGTTTGAAAGCACCCTGAACAGTGCTGGGAACTCAGTAGAGCCTCCAAAAGTGGCAGCTGCTATTATCACCACTTTACAAGAAATGTGGAAAGCTCAGGTAAACTTACACACAAAGCACTCTGCTTGACACTGCTTAAACTGAGACCTCAATGAATAAAGAACAAAAATAAGATAATGGAACTCAAAAGTCCCAACTCTGATTCCTCCAAGATATTACACATCTAGGCAGCACTTCCTAAAATGAACACATGACCCAGCATCAGGTTTTACCATACCACAAGAAAGAAGAAAACAATAGTTGGCCATGCATCATTGGTGTCTTTCCATGGGAAGATAATTTTACCTGATAAATGTTAGCTGACTTAGGTTTAGTTCTTATTTAGTACTTTTAGCTCTTGCAAACCAGTAACCATAACATGTTTCTAGAAAGATTACTAATGGGCCACATGTGGTGGCATGTTTCAGTACTCTGGGGGGTGGAGGTGAAGCAGGAGGATTAGAAGTTTGAGACCAGCCTGAGCAACTTAATGGATTGAATGAGACCTTGTTTCACAATTAAAAATGTGCTGGCAATGTAACTCAGTGAGGACATGGGTTCAATCCCCAGTACTAAAGAACAGAAACCATGTGTGGTGGTCCACACCTGTAATCCCAGCACTCAGGGGGCTGAGGCAGGAGGACTGCCATGAGTTCAAGGCCCACCCAGACTATACAGTGAGTTCAAGGCCAGCCTGAAATACATAGTGAGACCCTGTCTAAAAAAAAAAAAAAAGAGGGAGGGAAGGAAGAAAGGCAAAAGGAAGAAAGAAAAGGAGGAAAGAAGAAAGACAGAACCTTAATGGATATAACCACCATAATTTCAGATAAAGAAACAGACATAAACTAATTCTGATGGTCACAGTAAAAAGTAAACTGTGAACTAGACTCTAAATCTGCTTTCTACCATGCTATGTTAGCTTATCTCTCATGCATTCACCTTTTTTTTTAAACACAGGGTCTCACTGTATAGTCCAAGCTGGCCTTGAATTTATTATGTAGCCTAGGCTGGCTCTGAACTCACAGTGAGTCTCCTGCCTCAGCCTCCCAAGTGCTGGGACTTACAGCTGTGGACCACCACATGTGGCCAGCATTCACTTGATTCTTAACTGACACTTACTGGTTATTAAACTCACAGACCAAAGCCAGGTGTGGTGGCACACCCCTGCAATCCCAGCACTGGGGGGTCAGGGGAAGACCTGAGGCAGGAGGAGCATTAAAAGTTCGAGACCAGCCTGGGCTAAGCTCACTTCATGTGAGCCTAAGGCCAGCCTGAACTGCATAGCAAGACCCTGTTTCAAAAAGAAAAAGAAAGAGAAAAAAAAAATTCCACAGACTACGTCACATGTTTAGAATAATAACAGCTATAACACACCTTTCAATTTCCCATCAAAGTCAGGGCTTGTGGCCACTTGGAGTCCTGGATGTGGTAAGAGAAAACAGGTGACATCGGAGAAACACGAGTGAATGTGATTTCGAACGTTCTGAATTTCTTCATGTTGATGTTCTTTCACCTGCCAACAAACGCCAACAATTTACCAACCAAAGACTGTATTTGGTGTTCTCTACCAGGAATCACCAGCATAAAGACAAAGGAAGGCAGACTTTCCAACTCTGATGGAAAACTCAGAACTCTCAGAAGCAATAATTGCACAAGCGTGAATAACTATACTTGGCTCCTACAGCTAACTAAAAACAGGTACTAAAGAGTTTGTTTTTCTAAAAAAATGTATTGCACAATGATTAAGAACAAAAGAAGGTTTGTGGGCAGGAAGGAGGATCTAGCAATGACTGACAAAGGACTCCTGTACTTTGCTTTTTGGGGAACAGGATAGGCCTGTTTATATCCATGCCAAAATAAATAAGAATTTAATAGAACTAAAATTCTGAATGTGACATTCTAAAAGCACATTAAGCTGGGCATAGAGGTACACACCTGTAACCCCAGCACTTAGGAGGCTGAGGCAGGAGGCTTGCTGTGAGTTCGAGGCCAACTGAACTAGCTAGTGAACCCTGCCTCAAAAAACAAAATAAATAAATAAAGGCACATTAGAACCCAGTTTAAAACATGAAACAGAAACTATAATCATCCTTGGGCTTTTGACCAGAAGTATTTTCTACAATCCCTGGACATTAAATACCCAAGTTCTTTAACAATGAATAAATAACATTCATTTACACTAAGATTCATACATATTTAACCCACAGTATCATTTTCAATAACCTGCTTTAAATTCAACATCCAAAGGCAAATAAGGAAGTCATTAATACTTTTAGGTAATTCCACACCACAAATTATTCCCACTTACCTGTAAACGTTTATCCAAAAATGCCATCCCTCCTTGTAGTCCATAGCTATATTCATAAGGGAAACTCCAGTCTCGAACCAGAAACATGAGTGTCTATTTAGGAAGAGAGTAGAACATATTATGACTTTGTATGAATGCATTTTCAAGATAATAATTGTGGTACTTCTCTGCATAATGCCAATTTCTCCAAACGAAGCAAGAACATGTGCTGAAAGATTTATCTATTCCGTAATACAGAAACTTTTATAAACAATAGAAAGACATGTTTGGGCCGGGGAGATAGCTCAGCAGTACAAGTGCCTGCCCGGCAAATGCAAGGTCCTAAGTTTGATTCTAGGCACCAAAAAAAAAAAAAAGGACATGTTTAAGCCAAATATGGGATCAATATATCACAAGTGCTAGTTTCATTCCCCAAGGTTATGGAAAAGACTGTCGAGACAACATAAATTTGAGGCTGTTCCCTACAGGCAAGTAGAACTTAGTAAAGTAGCACCAGCTAGTAATCAGATCTACCATCTACATTAGAACGAAACAGCCTAGCTTGGTAGGCATTTATAGTACTATCTGACCCCCCCCCACCCCCGCAAAAGGGAAAAGAAATAATGCTCACATATTAATGCACCTCTAGCCTTGCTGAGGCTAAAGCAGAGGTCAGCAAATGTCTTCTGTAAAGAGCCAGAGAGTAAATATTTTAACCAGCTCCTGAATTTTGCCATGGTAGCAAGAAGGCAGCCAGAGCTTATGCATAAACACATGAGTATACTGCACGCCACTAATATTTTAGGTATCCATGATGATATTTGAAATTCAAATGACTTACACATGTCAAACTTACACATTTCATTTCTTTTTCATCCACTAGAGATATAAAAACCATGACTTGAGATGTAGCTCAATAGCAGAGCACATGTCCACTAGCATGCATGAGTCCCTGGGTTCAATCCCCAGCACTGCACAAAATGCATATATACACATATAAAAGCCATCTTGGGGCCAAGGATATGCACAGCACCTGCCTGGCAAGCGCAGGGTCCTGAGTTGGATCCTTGGTACCCCCAAAAAAAGCCATCTTTAGTTGATAGGTCATAAAAACAGGCAGCAGGCCAGATTTGGCCTATGAACTGTAATTTGATGATCTGTAAACTAAAACAAAGATATGAATTACAATCATAGTTAATAGTCTACCTGGAAGGGTTTTTGGAAAATTTCATCCATTGCCAGACGACCATATTCTGTGAAGAGCTTTAAAAAAGAAAATTTATGTTTTATAATCAAAATTATTTAAAATATTTATATGCTATCCTTTAGCAAAGTGCTCACTTAACAGACTAGATATTACCTCTATTGAAACCCCAAGTACTACAGTTTAGAAAGCCCACAGGAAGCTGAGCCTGGTGGCATATGCCTATAACCCCAGCACTTGGGAGGCTAAGGCAGGAGGGTTGCTGTGAGTTCAAAGACAGCCTGAGCTAAGTAGTGAGTTCAAGGCCACTCTGAACTACATAGTGAAACTCTGTCTAAAAAAAAAAAAAAAAAAAAAGCCCACAGTAGCCATGAACTTTAAAATAATCTTGATTATTCCTTACTCTTATATTCCACATCTTAATTCATCAGCAAGTCCAAAATTCAACCACTAATTCCACAAGGTCCAGAATACTTCAGTAATCTCCCAACTGGTCTCCCCACTTTCAGCCCTGACTTTTCTCAAACACCAGCCACAGTGGCTTTGTTATAACGTTAGACAATAGCACTCCTCTATGCTCAACCCTGCACCCTCAGTATTAAACCCAGTCCACCACTCCTGGCCCTTTTGCTTTTAATGTTCCTCCCCCAGATACCCCTTGGGACCAGCTGCCTCACTTCTTCAAGTCTCTACTCAATGGCTCTTTTTCAAGGAGCCTTCCCTGGCCAGCCACTTAAAAAGAAATGATTACAACCTTCCACATTGTCTGTCTTTCTTTCTTTCCTTTTTAGTACATGTTTGCAGTACCTGCAGTTTACAGTCATCTTGGGGAGTGGTTACATGTACATACTGTAGCTTGCTTCTTTTCATTCCCTTCCCCTTCCTTCTCCCTCCCTGCCTCTTCTAATTCCCCCATCCCATTGTTCATTCTTGTTCACATTAATAATCTTAACTCATATTAGGGCTTATAATGTTTATGTTAATTGGGGTTACTATCACATTGTATTTTTTTATCTCATGTCCTTTTTTTATTTTTCTCCCTAACACTGTCTAATGTACTACACCTTTATTTGCCTTCACTAGCATCTACCTTTACAATGAGCATTTAATTCCCACAAGGCCAGGAACATATGCCTGTCTTGTACATTCTGTATGTCAAGCCCAAGAAACATACTGAGCCCTTGGTATTTACGCCATTCAAATGACTGAATGAAGGGCTAGTGTCGGTTAGGGTTGATACGTACATTCACCTCTATTTCTTTATAAAGCTTCAGCCCACTAAAACTATAAGAAAATAAAGTTTAAAAGTTACAAACTCACAAGACAAAGAGGATGGGAAATAATATGACAGCAACCTTTGAAGGAAAAGAGACAGATGAGAACTGTTGAATTTTAGCTTTCCCTGCCTTGCAAAGAAATCGAGGAGGCAAGGGTCAAAGGAAGCAAGCAGATTTTCTCAACAGAATCCCTAGAAGGCTGGGATATATAGTTACCTTTCAAGGGAAACATGGAAGTGGGAATGGCAACTAAAGCAGTGATTGCAAATCTCTGGGGAAAGTAGCTATACCTCCAGATCCAGATCCCCACCCAGCCCCACGCTCTTCTGACCCCTACAGAAGATGGTAAGTGTACTATCTAGAGAGGATACCAGCAAACCTTAGCCTTGGAAACCAAACTCAGCTGAAGTCGGAAACAGCCTGGAAACAGATCCTTACGTCAAAGCATACATACTGAACAGCAGCACTAAGCCCTCTCATCCTATTTGGGGTTTAAAGAAATCTTCTCTGGGAAAACTGACAGCCCAAGAATAACTTACTTAAATATAGACATTTAGGAGTTGACAAGAAAATAGCTAAGTAATCTTGCCCAATCACATATCTTACCACAGCTTCCACTGGGATTTTTAGTGGCTCACTCTTAAATACAGGCAGCCAAAGACTATCAGACACTTGAGAAAGCCTTTAGCAGGAAAGACAAAAACCCATGTCCTGCTGGGCACAATAGTACACACTTGTAATCCTCGCACTCAGGAGGCTGAGGCAGGAATATTGGGCCAGCCTACAATACATAGTGAGACTCTGTCTCAAAAAAAAAAAATAACAAAAACGAAAAAACCATGTCCTTAAATTCTAGAGTATCGGCTTATATTATTCTTACTATGATTTCTTTCCCTTCATTTTCTCTGTTCTCTTACTAAATACCCACTGCTAATACCTATTAACATGTGAAACCTCTGATAAGTTGATCATTTTTCCTTTGTGTGACTTCTCCACCTCTGACCCCTTATTTTTCCCTTTCTCACCCCTCCCCACCTTCTAATACTCTTCTCTCTCTTTCACGCTGTCCTTCCTAGTCTCTGCTCTTTGTATCATTACTCAACCTGTTGAATACATTTTCTCCAACTTATATCTGTAAGGCTCCAACCAGACCTGACTCTCTCAACCCCCAGCCTGCTTGCCCACAGAAGCACTACTCTCTGCAAGGAACTCAGCTCAGCACCCAAAGCTGTCATAAGAAAGCACAGGAAAGGAGATAAGACAAGGAACTTTGCAAGTTCTGGGACATCTGGGGACATCTGGAGATACACTGGACACTTCAAAGACTCTGCCCGCTGAGATGCAAGATTGCCAGAGAACTTTGACTACAGATGTTTATTGGGATCTTCCCACCTAATGCTCTCTGCCTTCTCTCCATCCCTATAAAAGACATATTTCTCTTTCTCTTATCATACCCTCAGGCACAATCAATTCTAGGCCACGTTGCCTTTATACAAGCCTGGTAGTCTCTGCTGGTTTTCCTCCCTCCCCCTGTATGTTACATATGCTATAATATTCTAATTCTTCCTCTACTAAATTTTTCATTTTTACTGTTATAATTTCCAGAAGCTCTTTTATTATATTCTGTTAAGTGCTAGTGATTTTATTATTATTATTATTAATTGCTTACTTTCAATCCCTGGAACACTGGTACACAGTAGATGCTTCTTAAATATCTGCTCAGCAGAAGCATACATTTAGTAAGCCCCTACTGAACTGCTTGCTACTTGGGACATAGGTGCAGAACTCTACCACTCACTCTTGGAAAGAGCTCCACGCCCACTCCTTCCTTGTCTGATCTATACTATACTCCCTTCTTCATTTTCGTTTGCTGCCTTTAGGTAAGTCTGGCATGAGACTGAAGTACAGAGAGCACTGGTATACAGTAGGTTCCTACAGCACAGCAGATACCCAACACACATTACGAGATTGACGCAAACTGGGTTTCCGGAAGAAAAGACAGCATTCTTGGCATATAGTAAGGCCTGAGCACTCAGTGGACAACTGACACACTGACTAAGGCTGAAAAGGAACTAAAATTCATGCAAACCCTCCATCCAAGTGCAGAGTGTCTTACAAACTCAGCTCCACAAAGTCCTTTTACTGCATTCTCCATGTTGCTTTTACTAGTATGCAGTTATTTAACTATAACATCTTATCTCTGAGAATGATTTACAAAGAATGAAAAAGAAACCCAAACTAAGGCACATCACCATGAAAACACATGCCAAGAATAAGATCTTACAAGCTCCAAAACAAAAAGGTCACACACAAATGATCAGGAGTGAGATAGTGTAAGACTTCGGCAGCAACACTGGAAGCTGCAAGACAGTGAAGCAATGCCTTCAAAATCCTAACAGAAAATGTTTCATTCTCTAATTCTAGGATTAGACTAAAATATGCTCAGATTTAAGACCTCAAAAAAAAGTTACCTCCTTATGCCTTCTTTCCCAGGAATGAGTAGAATTGAGTGAATAATCAGAAGATTAAATCCAGCCCTACTGAGGCAGAAATTGAAAAGAAATTGCCAGGATTGTGGCAAAGAAAGGCCACTGAACGACAGCTGTGTCTGTTAGAGACAGTGCAGACTACAGCAGGGCTCAGTGCCCAGGAGGAGGCCTCCTCTGGGAAAGATAAAGCAAGCCTTACTGTTAGATGGTGCTAAGAAGTGTTACACATCTGTGGGTGCATTAGCGATCAGCATAAAGAACACTAAGTTGAAATGGAAAAGGCAATGAAAATAATTAATTATAAGAAAACAATCATAGTTCACAATGGGCCTCAGTTGTAAACAATATATATATACACACAGCATTCACAGGAAACTGATTCCAGGAGCCCCCTAGACACCAAATCTGAAGATGCTCAAGTCCCTTACATAAAGTGGCAAGGTATTTGCATGTAACCTACACACCCTTTAGCTCATCTCTAAATCACTTATAATGTCAAACTCAAACTAAATGCTACATAAGCAGTTATTATGCCACATTGTTTTGGGAATAATGAAAGAGAGAGGAGGGAGGAGGAAGAAGGGAGGAGGAGGGAGGAGGAGGAAGGAGGAGAGAAGAAAGGGGAGAGGACAGGAGGGGCAGGGGAGGCGGGTAGGAGGGAGGGCGAGGAGGAGGGAGAGAAGAAAACAGCCTGTGCATGTTCAGCACAGATTCAATTTATCTTTCCAAATATTTTCAGACCAAGTTGATTGAATCCATGGACAAGAAGACTTCAGGGCCGGGGATATAGCTCAGCAGCACAAGTGCCTGCCTGGCAAGCCCAAGTTCGTGAGTTCAATTTTCGGTCCACAATAAAAAAAGAAATGGAAGGCAAACTGTACACAATGGGTGATCAAAAAACATGGTGAATGTTTGAAGTTCAAAAATTTATTACAGTAAAAGACACATTGCCATTAATAACCCTCAAAAATTCCCCTTCACTCTGAACCCACTTAGGCCATCATTCTTGTCATTTTCTTTTTTCTTTCTTTTTTTTTTTTGCGGTACCAGGGATCTAACTCACGACCTTGTGCTTGCGAGGCAGGCACTTATGCCACTGAGCTATATCCCCAGCCCATTCTTGTCATTTTCTGATGTAGTTCTGGAAGTCCTTTTTTGTGAGTGTCTTACAAAGTGTTACGGTTTATGTCTAGATGTCTCCCCAAAGCCTCATGCAGTCGTGGGGTGGGCTTCGAGAGTTTTTGATTGATTCATGGTCCAATGCTGGGATTATGGGTATGAGTGCTACACCCGCCTTGAGGCAGGTAGCCTGCATACAGTATAAGGGTGGGAAAAAGGCTTGCTCCTGCTCCTCCTTTTTTGCTCTTGCTTTTTTTGCTGTTTTCCGCCACCATGAACTGTTGCCCTCTGCCATGTGCCACTCTGCTTTGGAGCCAGCTGCATAACAGACTGAAACCTCCTCCACAAACTATGAGCTAATAAACCTTTCCTTCCTTAATTTTGGGTGTCAGGTATTTTGTCTCAGCAATGAGAGAAAAATAACCAGGACACAAAGTGTGATACAAAATGTAGTGAATGCTGCTGCAAACTGCCGTCCAACAGAACACCAGACTCATAAAAAGTGTGTCCTCGTCTTATTCACCAGATATGGCACCATGTGACTTCCAGCTTTTCCCTAAAGTCAAAATGACCACGAAAGGGAAATGTTTTGAACAGATGCAGGATATCAAGACAGACAAAACAGCATAACTAATGACATGAACGACAATTTCCAGAAATACTTCAGGAAGTAGCAAGAATGACAGGACAGGCGTGTTCAAAGCAAAAGGGAATACTACGAGGAACATTAATGGCAATGTGTCTTTTATTGTAATAGTTTTTTTACTTAAATACATACCATATATTTCTATCACACTCCATATAATTAAGTAAATATGGACTTTTAAAACTAAATATTGTAATTTAACTATTGAAACAAGAGAGGAAGGAAACTGTGGGTTGAAAGATGGAGAAAATTAAGGGAATTAAATCTTAACTTACTATATGTTATCAATATTAAATTTTAAAAATCAGAAAGGAACAATATAAACGTGTTTTTAAAATCTAGAAGCAACCAGGCACATGCACTGCCAGCACTCAGAAGGCTGAGGCAGGAGGATCACTGCAAATTCAAGGCCAACCTGGGCTACACAGTTAGTTGAAGACCAGCCTAAACTATATAGCGAGTAACCCTGTCTCAAAAAACAAAACAAAAAAATGATTTGCTCTGTTTGTTTTTAAAGGACTGGAAAATTAATCTAATTCTAGGTCCCTATAATAATGACACCCTCACTCACTCAAGTTTTGCTATATTTCGTTCAATGTTGGTGGGAGAAGTAGAAATTAAACAAGCATGCCAGGAATTGCAGCCAACCTTAGAATACCAGTGAAGAGTATTTTCTAGGAAAAACAGATGAGAAATATTGCCATCGAGAAAGTCATTGAATAATAATAATCATATGTAGTAATAGTAACAGTAGCTTGCAATTATTAAGCACATACCATTCTCCAGGCATATCATTCTATGCACTTAACAAATATTTAACCTCACCTGTATTACTGGAGTAAGTCCACCCACAGTCTCACTAAAGGCATCCTTGCCTTCCTAAAAAAATCTATTCTGATCAAGGTAGCCAGTGATCTTTTTATAGTAACTCATAACACCTCCACTGCTCAAAACTCTCTCTGGCTCCCATCTCCCGCAGAGGAAAAGTCCAAACCCCACAGCACATCAACCTCACTGTCTCTCTGATTTCATCACTTAGCCCCTTTCTATCACACATTCCAACCCCACCTATCACCCACCTTATTCCATTTCAGAATCATTCTTGCTGCTCCCTCTCCTTTAATATTTTCCCCGAGATATGCCTAAATGACCTCATCACCCACTTTCTTCTATTCTTTGCCCAAATCAGTAAAGCCTTTGTCTGACCACGCTGATCCACCTCAGCAATATATATACAGAGGCCAGGATTACTATAAACCAAAAATCTTCCCTCACATTTCTACTTCTTACTAAAAACTACCCAAAAATTAATCTTAAAACTTTAACATGATATAATGTTAAAATGTATGAGGAATATATACCTGCAGCTGTTGAAGATCATCTTCCTGAATGTTCTGGGACAAATTGTATATCTAGAAAACAAAAATCCAGATTGACAATACTCTGGCTTACTTCAAACAAATCCCAAACAAGTTCACAGCACTGAACAGAAGCTCTGTACGATTAAAGATCTGTATATAAGAATATGAAGCCTGTTCAAATAGTAATATTATCTGTCCGTTGGAAAACTATGAGGCTGAAATCATGAAATTCTTCCTTAGTTTTCTCAGGTGCTTACCGAATCTACATTTTCTAAATGACATAACTGATGTAATCTCAATTTCCATCATTTTGGCTTTTCTTGAAACATGTTATATATAACTTACCACCAAAGTGGAAAAATAATTTAGCTCCTCCTGAGTTTCTCAGAGCTTAACTTACATGTATATCTAAAAACAAATTTCTATATGCTCAAAGAAATCTTGTTAATAAAACAGTAATAAAACGAAATGTCCTCCCTTTACTGTAGTTCCTTTTTTTTATTTCCAAGTCAAGCAGTTTTACCTGAACAGAACTAGTCATGGTACTCAGAGCGAAGATGGTAGCACAGTCTTTCACAGTTGACTGACTGTCAAATGCCCCCTGGGTATCCATCAGAACAACTGCAACCTAAACAAAGAAAAGAAAAAAACACAAATAGGCTGTGGGTGATGGTACACTCCTGTAACTGCAGTACTTAGAAGGCTGAGGCAGGAGGATCGCTGAGGGTTGAAGGCCAGCCTGGGCTACATAGTGAGTTCAAGACCAGCCTTAACTACACAGGGAGACCCTATCTCAAAACTTTTTTAAAAAATGGGTTAAAGTGAGAAGGAGGGACATGTACAGGACATATTTGTTACATGAGCCTTAAGCCTGTGCTCACAGGTTCTAAAATAAAGTGCCATTATTTAGGTTCCTTGCTCTGACTCAAGCATTTTGCTGGAGATAATGTATCTAACCTGATAAGATAGTACAAAACAGGCATACAGCCCAACATAGATTGCCCCACAATCAAAAAGGTCAATAGCGAAGCCCATTAGCTCACCACTCAGACAGTCATTCAATATTTTGTTGTTGGTGATATCGTTGAAAAAGAAATTTTAAGTACTGACTTAAGTTTAGCCTTATGGTCTGAAGTATTTTTGGCATTTATCTGCAAGGCTATATTCATTTCTTAAATTCCAGAGTTTTCTGTTTAATTGACATAAGAAAATTAATATTTATTTCAACCTTCACTAAAGACAAAATACAACAAAGATGCCATATGGTGGATCTAAGCTACCACTATACTCTATAAAATACAAGAGCAAAGGAGGAGAAGGGAAAGGAAGTAAAACGAATTAAGATGTGTAATACAGACACATACCAACTCCCTATGATGTATGTAACCATTATGTATATACTAATTAGTACATGTACTAAAAAATATTTAAAAATAGGGGCTGGGGATTTAGCTCAGCGGCACAGCGCCTGCCTGGCAAGCGCAAGGGCTTGAGTTCGATCCCCGGTACTGGAAAAAAACAAAAAGAAAAAAAGAAAATAAAGATTGTATATAACAAAGCTTCGTGAAACCTCAGGTTTTCTAAAATGGCTAGTGAGTCTATTCAATGCACTCAAAAAATGAGACTTATGCAAAATGTTAACATAATACTTTATAATCCTTATATAACTTGCTATTTATTATTCCCAGTCCTATAATTTTTTTTTTTTTTTGGTTTTTTTTCCGGTACTAGGAATCAAACTCACAACCTTGCACCTGTCAGGCAGGTGCTGTGCTGCTGAGCTAAATCCCCAGCCCCTCCAAGTCCTATAATTTAAACATAAATCTTCAGAGCTATCTGTGTATAATGTAGGTAGTTCAAAGACAGGGCGAAATTTAACATACTCAGAAAGATAAGTACATTTGTCTACTGCAAATGTGTACTAGTAAAAGTTAGAAAGTAAAAACAAAAAAAATAAATAAATTCATCAAATGAATGCCTGACTTTACTGAAACCTAGATTATTGCAAAAGCCAGCAAGCAAAATAAAATAAAATAAAATAAAATTTTGGGCCAGGGATATAGCTCAGCAGCTTAAGCATTTGTCTTGCAAGTCTGAGGTCATGAGTTCAATTCCTGGAACCAAAATAAAATGAAATAAAATAAAAGCCAGCAAGGAAGCTTTTTGTGAAATTTTACTGAGCCTAAAAAGAGAAATTTCATAGTCAAAAAAGATTTAAAATAAGATTTCTAGTAATAAATACAAATGAAATATAACTACTTTTCTTCTTAGAAATAATGTACTTTTAATAGTTTATATTCAGGTGCTATCACATTATTTATCTTTGAGTTTATGTTCATTATTCTAATCAACACTGCAGCAGAACAGACGATGTAAATTCAAGCAGAAGAGAATCCTAGATAGAAAAGATAAAATCAAGTTTCTGGCCTAAATACACTGAAACCCAATAATAGAAAATGTTATTATGTTCACCTTCTTCTCATTTGTGAGGAAGGTACTATCAAATTACATGGGCAACTGAGACTAATCACGGCTGGACATACAGATATTCAAATACAAAAGAATGATATCGGATTCCCATTTCATACCATAAACAAAATAACTCAAAATAGATCAGATCAATAAGAACACCATAAACTCTCCAAAGAAAACATATACCTAAATCTCAGTTACTTGTTTTTAGGCAATGAATGGATTGTTAGCTATAACACCTAAGACACAAACAACCAAGGAAAAATAAACATCAAAATTAAAAATGTAAAAAAAAAAAAATTAAAAACATGCCTGGCAAGCATGAGGCTCTGAGTTCAATTCCCTGCACAAAAACAAAACAAAACAAAACAAAAAATTACAAACGTCTGTACTTGTAGAGATACTATCAAGAAAACTGAAAAGGCAGACCACAGAATGAGAGAAATGTCCAGTAACTAGAATGTATCAGGAAATTTTACAACTCAAAAACAAAGACAAGAGACAGATGTGACACTACATTCCTGTAATCCCAGCTACTCAGAAGGCTAAGACAGGAGGATCTCAAGTTAAGGGCAATCTGGGCAACTCATCAAAGGTGTCTCAAAATAAAAGTAGTTTTTAAGGATGAGGTTGTGGCTCAGGGGCAGAACATTTGCCTAGCAACCATGACTGAACCCGGGTTCAAATCCCTAGTACTACCTGAAAACACCTTCCTTAAAGAAAGAAAAAGGGCCGGAAATATACCTCAGTGCAGCACAAGCACCTGCCTGGCAAGCGCAAGGTCCTGAGTTCAATTCCCAGTACCAAAAACAAAACAAAAAAGAAAGAAAAAGATAACCCAACTAAAACATGGACTTGATTTGAATAAACATTTCTCCCAAGAATATATTCAAATGGCCAATAAGCATAAGAAAAGATGCTCAATATCATTAGGGAAATGCAAATGCAAATCAAAACCAGGAGACCCACTTCACACTTGACAGATTGGCTATAATCAAAAAGTATCAGGTGTTGACAAGGCTGTTTGAAGTCCACAAGTTGGAGGTCCACCTGGAGTTCAAGGCCAGAGTGGACTACTGTCTCAAAAAAGAAAAAAGGAAAAGAAAAATTTTGTGTACCAGTGTAAGATAATCTTTAAGTTATTTAGGTGGGAAAAAGATAAAAATGGAGAGCAGTATGTACAGCATACTATATATATATTTTAAAAGAAACTGACTTCTCTAATATTTGCCTATATATACAGTAGAAGTCCCTGCAAGTTTACATTAGAAACTGATGACAAACTGGGCATGGTGGTACATGCATGTAATCCTAGCACTCATGAGGCTGAGGCAGGAGAATTGCTACAAGTTTAAGGCCAGCCTGAACTACAAGGTAAGACCGCCCTCAAAAAAAAAAAAAAAATGATGACAGAAAGGGAAGGGGCTAGAACAATCTGTCAGTAGCTGTAAGTGGGCAAGGGCTGAGACTACAGGCATCCGCCACCATGCCCAACATATACTGTAATGTTTTCAATTCCATCCCCGTCCTTTCTTTTTAAAATCCTAGCCACAAGCCAACATAATAGGTCATGCCCATAATAGGTCATGAACATGACTTAAGAAACTGTGGCCTAAAGATACAACTGCACATTTACTCACAAAGCTATTTATCAGGATGTTCACTGTAAGAAGAATGATAGAAAAGCCAGACGAGTGAGGCATGTGCCTGTAATCCCAGCACTCTAGGAGTCTGAGGCAGGAAGATTACAAATTTAAGCTCAGCCTGGACAATTTAACAAGACTGTTTCAAAAATAAGAATTTTTTTAGAAAAAAAAAAAGAATTTTTTTAGAAAGGGCTGAGGATATAGGACAGTGCTAAGGCCCTGGGTTCAAGCCCCTCTTTTCCTCACATAATGTCATACTACCCAAAAAAAAAAAAAAAAAAAAAAGGAATGAAAGTGTACCAGTAAGGAAATGTATAAAATGTAGCATATTCATATGCTTAATACATAATTTAAAAGAAATAAACCAGACATACCTATTAAAGAATGTTGACTTTTAATTAAAAAGCAAAAGAAAATGAATTCTCTACTTTTTAAGCCATACAAGTTCAAAGCTAAAATCTCCTTGAGTATTAAAAAATAAGACAGTCGTATTAAACTCTGTTTTGCCAAAACTCTAAATTGCTTAGTCTAGCACCAATGAGAAGTCTTTTCATCCTTACCTTCTTCCCACCTGGCTTCTCCACAATGAAAACTTCACTCCAGATCTGAATCCCAGTGGTTTCTGGGTCAGAGCCTCCTCTCCATGAAAATCCTGTTAGTGGTTCTTCTGGGTCACCCAACCAATTGGAATGACCACCTTCCTTCTACAAAAGAAATAAGAGATTTCTATTAAATCTCTCTGTGTGTGTGATGCTAGGGATCGAACCTAGGGCCCTATACCTGCTAAGCAAGCAATGTATCACTGAGCTATACCCCTAACCCCTTTGTTAAATTTAAATAAGTAGGGGGCTGGGGATTTAGCTCAGTGGCACAGCACCTTCCTGGCAAGTACAAGGTCGTGAGTTCGAATCCCGGTACCAGGAAAAAAAAAAAAAATTTAAATAAGTAATCTTATACAGAAACGCTAAGTCATGACCTTATTTTGCATATTAATGTCTCATTTTCTTCCTTCAGGTAAACTAATTCTTCCTTACCTGAGAATATAAATACCGTAGCATGAAGTCCAGAATGAAAGACTTGCCCTTGCGGAAAGCACCAGCCACGGACACCACAACCACATCAAGATCTCGGACATGGTCCTGTAGGAGGATGCTGGCCAAAGCTTTCTCTTCTAGCTCAAAGGAATGTTGGTCTTTGTGAACCAAAACAACTTGCACTGGCCCAGGCCTTCCACTCTCCATGGCATCACCTACGTAAATGTAGAGAAAAATAAATTAGTTTCAAGTATATACATACATATTTTTTTGGCCAGGCGTGGTGGCACACACCTGCAATCCCAGCACTTGGGAGGCTGAAGCAGGAGGATCATTAAAAGTTGAAGACCAGCCTGCGCTACAAAGTGAGCTCAAGGCCATGGGCTACAAAGTGAGCTCAAGGCCAGCCTCAATTGCATAGTGAGACCCTGTCTCAAAAAGACCAAAAAAAAAAAAGACAATTTTGACTTTTTTTAAATTAAGAAAGTTTAGCCAGGTATTGTGGTACATGCCTGTAATCCCACATATTTGGGGGCTGAAGGATGAGAACCCAAAGTTCCAAGCCAACCTGGGCAACTTAGCAAGACCCTGTCTCAAAAATTATAAAGTACTGGAGTTAGACACAGTGATGCATGCCTATAATCCTAGCACTTAGGAGGCTGAGGCAGGAGGATCACCATAAATTCAAGGCAATCCTGGTCTACATAATGAGTTCAAGGCCAGCCCTGAACTACATAGGGAGATGCTGTCTCAAAGGGGAAGAGAGGTTGGAATTTCGCCTGATTTGCTGCTAAGAGGTGGAGCCAAGTCAGGAGAGGTAGGTCACTGAAAAGAAAGGTGAGATCTCCCTTCCCAGCTCCTCCTTAACTCACTTTGCTTCCTAGATGCCATGAGGTAAGCAGCTTCCCTCTACCCAGCCCCCTTCCACCATGCCCTTTTTGCCCAGGAGCCAGCCAGCTATGCACTGATAGCACTACCAAATTCTCATGCTTTCTGATAGGAACACATAACATAGGATAGGCACTTTGGAAAACTATTTGGCAGTATATATTAAAATTAAACATACCTACCATCCAGTACTTCTACTCCTAGGTATATAAAGATGTAAGAGGTGTGAATACATACAACCACCAAAAGACATTTTGAGAATCCTCACATGAAAATTCTCCATATGTATAAGTAACACAAAATGTCCATCAGCAGTAGAGAGGTGTCTCACACTGAAAAGTCTTTTATATATACTATTTAACTCTCAGAACAAACCTATGAAATAAATAATGCTGCCATTTTTTTGTTTTTGTTTGGTTTGGTCTGGTACTGGGAATCGAACTTAGGACCTTGCACTTGCCAGGCAAGCGATATGCTGCTGAGCTATATCCCCACCCTACTGCCTTTTTTAAAAACAGTACAGGGGCTGATTCCAGGACCTTTCCCCTGAGATACATCCCCAGTTCACTCTTTTTTTTGTTTGAGACAGGGTCTCATTAAATTGCTAAGTTCCCCAAGCTGGGCTCAAACTTGAAATCCTCCAGCCTCAGCCTCCCAGAGTGCTAGGATTACATATAGGCACCACCTTACCCAGTGAGCCCCATTGTGGAGAAGGACATTCTTTAGTTTATCTTTCAATGTACCTATTTGGGACTTCGGGCCTGACCAAGCCATATGATTGCTTGTTTCTGAAGGAAGTGAGCAAAAGCATTAGCATAAAAGGAAATGATAGCAGGACCTGTGTCCCTGTGGAAAGCTGCAGGGACAACACTAGATGCTTTGCTGAGATATGCCTGAAGGAATGATAACATGATGGCTAACTAAGTCATCTCATTCCTGTGATAATTAAGTTGTATTATCCTTACTAATCCTGTTAATTATTCCTCCCATTTTCCCTGTTGCTGCATTTGTTAGTATCTCAATAAAAGGTTATGGAAAATGGTAATCGAGGTTTCAGTCCAAGGGGCTGCAAGCCCCCTGATTCCATAACTTTCTCTCTTGTTTTTCTTTTCATCCGCGGCACCTCATTCTTGGGACCTGTCACCCCAGACAGAAACTGACTACACACCAACACCCTATTTTTTAAATCAGGAAACTGGGAATAAAAAAAAAAAAATTAAAATGTGTTATGTACATGTACAACCTACACACACACACACACGGAATATAATCATTATGTAATGCAAACATGTACTAATAAAAATAAAAATTGACAAATAAGATAAAATACATAAAATGTAACTAAGACTTGCGGCTGGGGATTTAGCTCAGCAGCACAGCGCCTGCCCAGCAAGCACAAGATCGTGAGTTTGATCCCCGGTACGAGAAAAAAAACAAACAAGAAAAAAAGAAACTAAGACTTAACAAAGGTTTAGCATCTTATCCAGTAGCTCCTGGAGATAAGGTAGAAAAGATCTTCATCTGGTTAATAATTTAATCAAAATTTCAGGAGCTGCAGGGTGTAGTAGAGCATGCCTATAATCCCAGCACTGGGGGGTACGGGGGCAGGGGCAGAGAGCTGAAGCAGGAGGACTGCCAAGAAGAGTTCAAGACCAGCCTGCACTACATAGTGAGTTCAAGGCCAGTTTGAACTACATAAAGAATAAAGAGACCTTGTCTCAAAACAGAGCAACAAGAAAAAGTTTCTATAGTTCAAAAGTAAGCACTAACTAGTAGTACTTTCCCCACCAGAATTGAAAGTACATATTTGGAGCCATTTAGTAGCTGCAGATTTATGGATTTTACAAAAAATTACCAGTGTGGCCTAGGGAATGGGTCAAAGCACCATTTCTCTAAGTGCACATGCCATTAGTATCAAGATGTTTTTAGGCACACATAAAGATAGCTTTTATTTTAATATTTATGTATCTGATATGTATATTAGAAAATTCCAAGCCAGTTTAAGGATTACTGCTTACAGAAGGTTAACTTTAGGAAACAGTAAATCAATTTACATTTAAGAGTACATTTTAAGTAAAGCATAGTACACTAAAGAAGTATGGCAAGGGCATGGTGGTACATGCCTGTAATCCCAGAACTTGGGAAGCTGAGGCAGGAGGATCACTGTGAGTTCGAGACCAGCCTGGGCTACAAAGTGAGCTCAAGGCCAGCCTGAACTGCATAGGGAGACCCTGTCTCAAAAAGACCAAAAAATAAAATTAAATTAAAAGAGTAGTATGGTCAAAATCACAACTATGGTTCCTCAATAACTTCTGTCTGAGAACCACTGTAGGCTGCATGTTCACAGGAGGCAAAACAGACAAAACAGCTTGACTGCCAGACCCTTCCCTGTAAGCAGTAGCAATTGTGGCTCCTTTTTATACTTGCAGTATCACTGACAAAAGGGTTCTTCCCATTTTTTAATTTTTTGCAGACTACTGGAAAACAACATGTAAGTTAAATGTCATGCTATCCCAATAATAAATGTATATCAATAAACTGCCTCCCATTGTGGCCTGGATAGAAAGAATTTGTGGATAATTTTAGGTTCATATTGCTACCACAAGAGATAAATCCAAGACCTCCAGGCTTTTTATACAAAAGAACCAATAAAAAGAATTTATTCAGACTTTATGGATAAAGCACAGTGCTAAGTACTGTGAAATAAAGAAGTATAAAACAAAGTTCTGATTCTGGCAGAGCTAGCTGGTAATCCCCCCAATATTCACTTCTCCCTCCTGTTATGCAATAGATATTTAGCTGGGCATATAACCGTCCAAAAGAAACACACTCCCAACCCAACCTTGTAGCTGGAGTATGACCACGAGACTATGTTCTGACCAATGAGAAGTCACTGGAGAACACACAGGCAACTTCCGGGTCAGGCCTTTCCCACTTCCTGCTGGCTGGTTATAGAGGCGGGAGTGAGTCATCTGGGTGAGGTACATTCAGGCAACACCCAGAACCCTGGAGCAATGAGAGAGGCAGGGTCCTAGGACTTTGTGCACAGAACCGCCATAATGATCCACTTTTATGTGAAAGAAAAATGTCGGTCTTGCTTAAATCATTTATTTGGAGACTCTTTCAGATACAGCCAAACCTAGCAACCCATTTCATCATTACAGTTTACATTCAGCAATGTGAATATAATGATACATAGTTATTACAATGATACACAGCAGGCACACAATAAGTGTAAAGTAAGTGAATGATATATACACTTGAAGTTTACAAACTACGGATGCAGGTGGCATTTGTCAGAACCACAGATGTGGAAGATAAAATTACATGGGCTACAGGCAAGTCCAAATAATCCAGTGATAAAAATGTATGCAGTTGCACACAATGAAGTTGAATACTTCTGTGGACACTTTAACAAAAAAAGGTAAGTTTTTACTCTCCTCTTGCTCCCTGCAGAACAGTACTCAAGAAAGAGGAAAAAAACAAGCTGTGATTTAGTGCAGGAGTTGAGGTGATCATGCATTTCCCTTCATTAGTACTGTTAAGCATCATCAGCACCAGGCACAGTGGCGCATGCCTGTAATCCCAGCACTCGGGAGGCTGAGGCAGGAGATCGCTGTGAGTTCAAGGCCAGCTTGGGCTATATAAAGTGAGTTCAAGACCAGCCTGAACCGCACAGCAAGACTCTGTCTCAAAAAAAACAAAAAAATAAATAAAATAAAACAAAGGGAGCCTGCCGGGCATGGTGGCGCACACCTGTAATCCCAGCACTTGGGAGGCTGAGGCAGGAGGATCACTTTGAGTTCGAGATCAGCCTGGACTACAAAGTGAGCTCAAGGCCAGCCTGAACTGCATAGCGTGACCCTGTCTCAAAAAGACAAAAAAAAAAAAAAAAAATTTCAGGTCAACTCATCCCTTTCCAGGTGTTAGATAAAGGTCCTTTGCTTATTTAATATAATATCACAGACTGTCTAATCTTTTAGATCCATTCATCAAAACTTTACAGGAACTGAGCCTGGCAGCACAGGAAGCATCCCAGCACTCTGCGATAATAAAGCAGGAAGATTGCAAATTCAAGCCCTGCCTGGGCAATTTAGAACTTAGTGAGACCTTTTCTCAAAATAAAAAATAAAAATGGTCTGGGGATGTAGCTCAGTACAAAGGTGCTAGGTTCAATCCCCAATGCCATCTTTCAGTCTTGCCAGTCACAATGATTATCCAAGTCACTATTTCTAAACCTTCCTTGGATTATGTCACCTCATCCCTCAGGACTGACCTCTTCTACTCCATTACAGTACATAAGCATATCATGACAGTACCTATATGA